CTGTGTATCTTTCTCCGTTTTTAATCTGGGTCTTTATAATTAAAGTGGGTTTCTTGTAAACAACATGTAATTGGGTCCTATATGTTACTCACTCTGTCAGTCTTTATCTTTTAATGGTGTATTTAGACAATTCACATTTAAAGTGATTATTGATAGTGGTGGATTAATATGTACCATATACTTTTTTCTATTTGTTGCCCTTCTGCTTTGTTTTCTTTTTTTGTCTTCCCTCCTTTTTTCTGGCTTTAATCAGGGATTTATATGATTCTATTTTCTCTCCTCTCTTAGCATATTAATTATACTTTTTAAAAGATTTTAAGGGTTGCCCTAGAATATGCAGTAAACATTTATAACTATTCTAAATCCGCTTTCATATAACACTATACCTCTTCACAGGTAGTGCAGGTTCTTTATAATAAACTATTCCCAGTTCCTCCCTCCTGTCCCTTATAACATTGCTGTCATTCATTTCACTTACCCATAAGCTATAATCACCCAACTTATTGTTGCTATTATTATTTTGAAGTGATCTATTAGATGAATTAAGAACAAAAAATAAGGTCTTAATTTTACTTTCATTTATTCCTTTTCTCACGTTCTTCCTTTCTTCGTGTAGATCCAAGTTTCTAACTATATCATTTTTCTTCTCTATGAAGAACTTCTTTTAACATTTCCTCCAAGGCAGGTCTACTCATGAAAAATTTCCTGTTTTTGTTGTCTGAGAAAGTCTATTTCCTCTCCACTTTCAAAGGACAATTACACTGGATACAGAATTCTACGTTGGTGGGTTTTCTTTCAGCACTGTAAATACTTCATTCCACTCTTGTTGTTTGCATGGTTTCTGAAGAGAGAAGTCTGATGTAATTCTATTCTTGCCTTGCCATAGGTAAGGTATATTTTTTCTTCCAGCTTCTTTCAATATTTTTTTTGTCTGATATTCTACAACTTGAATATCATACACCTACATGTAGATATTTTTGTATTTATCCTGTTTGGTGTTTTCTGAGCTTCCTGATTCTCTGGTTTGGTATCTGCCATCAATTCTGGAAAATTCTCAGCCACTATTACTTCAAATAATTCTTCTCCCTCCTCTCTTTACTGTCTGGTATTCCCATTACTTATATTTTACACTTTTTTGTAATTTTTTCATACTTCTCGAATATTGTTCCTTTTTCAAAAAAAAATCTTTTTTCTCTTTACACTTAAATTTGAGATGTTTCTATTGACATATCTTCAAGCCCATAGGTTATTTCTCAGCTGTGAAAAGCATTCTTCATTTCGTATTGTTTTTGTTTTCCAGCAGCTTCTTCTGATTCTTAGAGTTTTCATCTCTCTGCTTATATTACACATCTGTTCTTGCAAGTTGTAAACTTTCTCGAGTAGCGATCTTATCATGTTAATTATTTTAAGTACTTTAAATTCCCAGTCTGGTCATTCCAAAACCTCTGCCATATCAGAGTCTGGTTCTGATGCTTGTTTTCTCTCTTCAGACTGTGTTTTTTTCTTGCCTTTTAGCAAGCATTCTAATTATTTACCAGCCACACATGATGTATCAGATAATAGGGACTGAGGTAAGCAGGTCTTTAGTGTGAGGTTTTATGTAAACATGGCCAAGAGTCGGGCTGTGTTTACTGTTTGCTGCGTCAGAGGTTCCACTTTCCTTTAACATCCTTTGTTCTGTCTGCTGTCTGTCCTTGTGTTTACTTAGAAACTCCTTTCTGAATGGTGTCTGTGTCCTGAAGCTCTCTCAGTTGTAATCCACTGTTATTGTACTGGAGAACTTTTAATAGATCGTAAGGTATTGGGAAGGAGAGGCGTTCTATAATCTTAGGGTTGAATCTCCCTTTTTATCCGGCAGGAATCCCCAGGCTATGACCTTCAGAATAGTTGTTCAGCTTTTTTCTTGTTGTGATGACAGGCATGACAAACTTCCAGCACCTTCAAATGTCCAAGTGGGAAGCAGCAGTTCTTTTTTTCCCTCATGTGAGACAGGGTAGAAGAGGCACAAGTTATCTAATTGTTCTCCCTGGAGGTCAGATGGAGCTCTGATATTGAAGTTTCCCTTGAGGGCTAGCCTTTGTTTCAGGAAAAGGAAGCTTTGGGTATACTTCAAAATGATTGCTTTCTCCCTCCCCTTGCCAGAGGCAAGAGAGAATTTTTCTCTGATCTTCACGGGACAGCCTTGTGGGGCTCCTGAAGGTAAAACTCTGGAAAGTGTGGGTGCTCCCCTAAGGCTGAGTCCTTGCTCCCCCAGAGTTTTCCATTCTCAATTAAGTCCACACTCAGTCTCCAGCTATTCACAGATCACAGATTAAGTGTCTCCACCCATTACTGGCTCTTGTTCCTAGTCAGCTGGGATTGTCTTGAATTCATTCACCTGTTTCTTCAGTTTTCAGGGAGGTGGTTTGTCCTGAATTCTCTGGTAGATGTAAGAAGAATTGTTAATTTTCAGTTGGCTCAGCTTTTTTCTTGTTGTGATGGCAGCAGTGACAGTTTCCAAGATCTTCATGCATCAGAGTGGAAACCTGAAGTCCTAATAATAATATTTTATATGCATTATATCTTTTGATGACATGAAAGGGTGCCAATGAAAGATTAGTCGATCTAAGAAAGAAATGGAAAATTTTATTCAAGTCAGTCTTGAGGATTATAACTCAGGAAGACCATCTCAGAAAGCTCTAAGAACTATTGTGCCCGTTAGAAGTCAAGGCACAGTTCTCTAAGTGTTTTCAGACAGAGGGCTGTACATCAAGTGACATATTACTGGCAGTTTAGATGATCCAGATCTAATCGGCATCGTGGTGGGACATGTGATCCCCTACAAGGTCAGGAAGGAATGTTGTCTTTTAAGGAGCTGTCTTGTTAATGCTGGGAGAATGTTGCTCGTTGTGGTTGAGCAGGTATTCCTACAAATGGGGGAGGTCTGGCCGGTGCATAATGCGGATACACAATGCATAGTGCCGGGGGAGAGAGGGGGCCAAAGGTCAGAGAAGGCTTTTTTATGTTTAAATTTTTCTTGTCTTGCCATTAAATACAAATTTTTATTTCACAAGGTTGCGGAGCACAGGCTCCGGACGCGCAGGCTCGGCGGCCATGGCTCACGAGCCCAACCGCTCCGCGGCATGTGGGATCTTTCCGGACCGGGGCACGAACCCGTGTCCCCTGCAGCGGCAAGTGGACTCTCAGCCACTGCGCCACCAGGGAAGCCCCACAGATCTTATAGCATTTAACCTACAAGAAAACTGAGGCTGAAGGAGATTAAATAACTTTCCCAAAGACAAAGGGCCAGTAGATGAAGCTAACCCACATCTTCGAGACCTGCCAACACAGACACGTATGTTCAATCATTCATGCACCTGAAACAGTGTGAAAGGAAAACTTCCACGTAGAGAGGATTGTCCACATTTCAGCTGGCTCTGTGGCCTGATATAAAAAGCCCTGCCCTGGGATATTCCATAATAAATGTCCTCAAGCCTGACTCAGACCCCAGCTCCCGTTTAGATTTTAGGGAATTCACAACAGCGGGAGTCTCAGCTTCTCAGTATGAATCTGGAGCAAGAACTACCACACGACCATTCACCGAGGTCTCTTGCAATCACAAAATGAAGCAGTGCTAGGCTGCATTTAGGCTCCATATTTTTGGAAGAGAGAGTTTGTCTATGTGTGTGTCTGTGGGTCTGTGGGTCTGGATATGTGAAAGAGGAAGTTATTTCTTTACAATTTTTCTGAACTGCTAAATTAAGCCTCTCCCTTAAGTGAAAAGCCTTAGCTTCTTTGATTCTTTAAATGACGTGACACTTTACCTTCCCACCTGCTTAAATACACTATAGCTTATGAATGTGAATAATATTTAAAGCAGGACTTCCTTCCAGGATTTCCTCTGCCTTCGGATTTTCCTTATGTTTTCTCGTGGTAACTCCACAACCATTACCAACCACTGAAATGTCTCCGTGTGCAATGTCACTTCCTCAGAGAGGCCTTCCTTGACCTCTTAGACAGGACAGAACCCAGCACTTCCTCTTTCTGAACCTACATGTTCATATCTGGACTCTTCATGAGGGTGGACTCTGCATAAGTCACAGCTGCACCCCCAGGGCTGACAGTCTAGGATGGACCTTTCTGCAGGATAGAGATGTTCTATCATCTGCAAGTGACTGCTGAGCACTTGAAAAGTACAAGTGAACTACTGAATTTTTAATCCCAATTTAAATTTAAATAGCTATAAGCTGCTAGTGGCCACGTATCAGACGGTGGAGGACTAGAGCAATGTTTCTCAAAATCTAGATCAAGATGTCAGGAATCTGCTTCTTGATCCATGCTCCAGGTAATTCTTACCAGCAGTAAAATGTCACAACTGCTGGTCTAGAATGGGCTTCTCAATCCTGGCTTCACATTAGACCCACCTGGAGGAGGTTTTAAAAGAGAACAGTGTCCCAGCCACACCCCTAGAGATTCAATTTCAATTGGTCTGGTGTGGGGTTCAGGTATTAGTATTTAAAAAACGAAACAAGACAGAAACTCTCCCCTGGAGGCTGTTACAGGCAGTCAGGCTTGAGCATCTAGAAGATCTGTTCTCACTTGACCCTCAGAATAGACCAAATAAATATACAGATAAACGGTCTGGGGGCGTTTATAAAGGATTAGTGATTACAAGTGAAATCTTGTGATGTCCGAAGAGATAATTAGTGACATTAGTGGTTCAGATGAATTTCTTGACGTTCCATGAAAAAAAAATTCAGCTTTAGATAATCTCTAACGACTGTGTGAAATGCCTTGTCCTTTTATCCATAAACGGTACAAATCATACCAAGCTCTGGGACATCTGGAGAGGGCGACACGCTCAGAGTTCCCTAAGCAATCATCTCTTAAAATACACAAAAGCCTCTCTAGTTTGCTGGTTGATTGACAGAGGGCCTGGTGACTTCACATGGAGTCACATGACCGTGCCCTGCCCAGCAGCTGGAAGAAGGTGTTTTCCAACCTGCCGCTCCGGGCAGGTCCCGGGTCTCCTTTGCTAAGTCCTCCCCGTTCCTCCCCCCTCCAGGTGCGTCGGTCACCGTCTCGGCGGTAAGGAACGGCGCCCGGACTAGCGCGGGAACGTGGGTGCCGGAGTCCCGCCCTCCCCTCCTGCAGGTGCACAGGTAAGGGCCCCGCAGTTAAGTCCAGACTGGCCGGGTGCCGGGCGCAGAGGGAATCAGGCGGGTGCAGACTGGGCACCGGCGCGGGAGGCGGCCGCGCGGGTGCAGAGCCCAGGGAATTTCAGCCCCGGCCCTGGGCGCTGCGAGGACCGCAACTCAAGGAAACCCGAGCAGCTTTGCAGGGGGAGTGTCTGATGATTTTTCAAAACATGCTCCTGATTGAAAAAAAAATCAAGGCTCAGAATAAGTAGATTCAAGCACTGCTAATTTTAGCCAAGACACCGGAGGAGCTTGCCAGGGGATTTGAGGAAATTAACATGAAACTAAAACCGAATCTTAGGTGAAGAGGAGCAAGCAATATTGATCAGCACGTACTAAACGCTAACGAAAAGGTCTCCGTAGAGAGAGGTTTACAGGAAAAGGTTTAAATTACTACGAGAGATTTAAGGGAGAAGTACTATTCAATGAAACAAAAGTACTAGAACAAAAATAAATGATTATAGTTTAACAATACATCAGCATATACTTACACATGTGAAAACTACTTTAGTCTAAAGTATATTAAGTTAATTTAAATTTTATTCAAAAGTAATTTGAGCCTTGTTAACTCAACAGGTTTGCATTTTAAAAAACGGGGTCTAGTGTGTGCTAGAGTGATATTTTTTTCCTTTCCACAGAACTTCATTGATTTAGAATGAGGTAGATTCTTCCTTAAAGATAGTAAACATTGCCAACCCACAATGAAATTAGATCACATACTTCCTGAAATGTACCAGAGGGGCATGCAATAAACTTCATTTATCTGCAGGTAGTAACTAAGTAACACTGGTTGATGTTCACTCAGCAGTCAAAATGCAGTGTATGCACCATGATTAGCACACCAGATTATTCTTTCAAGGAAATCTGAGAGGTCTAGGGTCGTCAGTATTCTTCAGTGGAGACATCGTTTTGCCCATGTTGCAATTTTTTTAAGCGTAGGCATTCTCTTCGCAATGTGCTTATAGAGGGGTTTTTTCCTTAGCTGATTTTAGTTAAAATGGAAACAAAATAAGTTTCTTAGCTGGACTTAATCACATGTCCTTAGTCCTGTGATATCCTTCCTGGATACCTCCTACCCCTCTGACCTATTGCAGCTCTGGTATTTTAGCAACAATCCACTAGCTTGACCCTTGAGCCAAACCCACGTAAGCTATTGAGGGAAGCCACAGGGCTGAAACTTTCTTTGCATCTAATAGTAAGCCTATTATTATTTTTATTGAAGTAGTGTTACTGTGTCAGTGTTTAAATGTCTAAGCATCTCTTCCTCAACTATGGTCCCATGAACAGCATTTTTGTTTTAGTTTAAGAAAACACACAAAATTTTAAATAGATATCTTTTTTGCTAAAATTTATTCATCAATTTGAAGTTATTCCTGTTTTGGGTTAAACTATGTTTAATAATACCAAAGAAGATATATTGTAGGTAGTTGTATATCTGACAATTCTCTGCAAAGAACCCATAAGGAACAATACGTGAAAAAAAAATGAAACACCTTAATGTAAATATTTATCATTGTAAAATAAAATAATAAGGAAAGGTAATTTCAGGTGTGCTTTGTTCAATACACATCCACAAGAGGTTATCACTGTAATATTAAATTTGGGGGAAAAAACCCACTAGATTATTTTAAATTCCATTCCAGAAGATTTATGTAGAGCAGTGAATGAATCCAAAGATCAATGTGCAAAATGATTTCACAGTGGTATTGTGGCATGACTCTGCTTACCTCCTGGGTTAAAAATGACTGTGTTATTTTTTTCTCATGTAGCTTGTACAACTAAAAAAGTGAATTATGCTCAATACGCTTTTCCAAATGTTATCTTATGAAAAACGTCTGGTTCTTAGCTATTTGGGTTTTGGTCCTTTAGGAAGCTAGCACTTTTTAATAAGCTCAGCATTGTTGTCCAGTAGAATTTTCTGCAATGATAGGCGTGTTCTGCGTATAACCTGCTCTGTCCAGTGTGGTAGCTGCTGATTGTATGCAGCCGTTGAGCACTTGAAATGTAGTTAACTTAGCGAAGGAGCTGAGTTGTCTTCTTTTACTAAATTTTAATGAAAAGTTAGTTACCCGTATGTGACCAGTGGCTCCCGGATTGCACAAGCATCTGACTAGCTGTTCCCCTTTGTTCTGCTGGCTGGTTGATAGTATTGCGCAAGACACAACTGCTGGTCTCGTGCTGTCGGGGAGTCCTGAAGGTATTTTTCAAGAGCCTTAATCTGGAAGGGATTTAAGAGATATGTTTTTTTCACTTCATTTTTAATGACATTTGTTGCTTTGTTTTCATATTACGAGCAATACATGTTCACTGCAGACTACCAGAAACACATAAAAGCGTAACGTAAAAATTTGCTATCTCCCATAATCCCCACCCTCCAGAGATAACCATTTTAGCATTTTGACACATTTTCCCCATACTGCACATTTCATCTTTATCTCTGGGACTCATTTATTTTGTAACTGGAAGTTTGTCCCTCTTAACTCTCTCACCTATTTCACTCATCCCCCGACCCTGTTCCCCTCTGGTGACCACCTAATTGTTCCCTGTATCTAGGACTCTGTTCTTTGTTATGTTTGTTCCTTTGTTTTGGTTTTCAGAGTCCACATATTAATGAAATCATATGGTATTTATTTTTCTCCATATGATTGATGTCACTTAGCATAATAGCTTCTAGGTCCATCCATGTTTTCACAAGTGGCAAGATTTCCTTATTTTTATGGCTGAGTAATATTCCATGTTGTGTGTGTGTGTGCATGCATGTGTGTGTGTGTGTATGTATATACGTGTGTGTGTGTGTGTGTGTGTGTGTGTGTGTGTGTGTGTGTGTATCACATCTTCTTTATCCATTCGTCTGTTGCTGGGCACTTAGGATGCTTCCATATCTTGACTGTTGTAAATAATGCTGTAATGAATAGAGGTGTGCATATATCATTTTGAATCAGTGTTTTAGTTTTGCTTCAGAATGATACCAAGAAGTGGATTTTCTGGATGGTATGGTAGTTCTACTTTTAGTTTTTTTGAGGAACCTCCATACTGTTCTCCATAGTGGCTGCACCAATTTACATTCACACCAACTGTGTAGAAGGGTTCCCTTTCTCCATACCCTCTCCAGCATTTGTGATTTATAGACTTTTTGATGATGGCTGTTCTGACAGGTGTGCGGTGATATATCATTGTGGTCTGATTTGCATTTCTCTGATGATTAGTGCTGTTGAGAATCTTTTCATGTATCTGTTGGCCAAGGGTGTGTCTTCTTTGGAAAAATGTCTATTCATATCCTCTGCCCATTTTTTAATTAGGTTATTTGTTTTTTGATATTGAGTTTTATGAGTCCTTTGTATATTTTGGATATTAACCTATTATGAGGTATATCATTTGCGAATATCTTCTCTGATTTAGTAGGCAGCCTTTTCATTTGATTGGTAGTTCCCATGCCATGCAAAAACTTTTTAGTTAGAGTAGTCCCATTTGTTTTTGTTTTTTAAAGATTTGTTTATTTATTTATTTTTGGCTGCGTTGGGTCTTCGTTGCTGTGCGCGGGCTTTCTCTTGTTGCGGCAAACAGGGGCTACTCTTCGTTGTGGTGTGCAGGCTTCTAATTGCGTTGCTTTCTCTTGTTATGGAGCACGGGCTCTAGGTGTGCGGGCTTCAGTAGTTGTGGCACACAGGCTCAACAGTTGTGGCTTGCGGACTCTAGAGCAGAAGCTCAGTAGTTGTGGCGCACAGGCTTAGTTGCTCCGCGGCATGTGGGATCTTCCCAGACCAGGGCTCAAACCCGTGTCCCCTGCGTTAGCAGACGGATTCTTAACCACTGCGCCACCAGGGAAGTCCCCCATTTGTTTTTTTATTTTTGCTTTTGTTTCCCTTGTCTGGAGAGATAGATTCAAAAACTATTGCTAAGGCCAGCGTCAAACAGTGAACTGCCTATGTTTTCTTCTAGGAATGTTATGGTTTCAGGCCTCACGTTTAAGTCCTTAATCCATTTTGAGTTTATTTTTGTACATGGTATGAGAAAGCAGTCCAGTCTGACTCTTTTTCATGTAGCTGTCCAGTTTACCCAACATCGTTTATCAACGAGGCTTTATTTTCCCCATTGTATATTCTTGCTTCCTTTGTCATAGATTAATTGACCACATGTGTGTAGATTTATTTCCGGCCTCTCTATTCTTTTCCATTGATCTATGTTTCTGTTTTGGTGCCAGTACCATATTGTTTTGATTACTGTAGCTTAGAAGTATGAAATCAGGGAGCATGATAACTCAAGCTTTTTTCTTTTTTCTCAAGAAAGAAAAAAGCTTGTGTCATCTTTGATTTCTTTCATCAATATCTTATAGTTTGCTGAATATGGGTATTTTTGCCTCCTTAGGTAGGTTTATTCCTAGGTATTTATTCTTTTTACACGATAGTAAATGGGATTGTTTACTTAATTTTTCTTTGTGTTCTTTTGTTGTTAGTGTATAGCAATGCAAGAGATTTCTGTATATTAATTTTATATCCTGCAACTTTACCAAATTCATTGATTAACTCTAATAGTTTTCTGGTGGCATCTTTAGGATTTTCTATGTATAGTATCATGTCATCTGCAAACAGTGACAGTTTTACTTCTTCCTTTGCGATTTGGATTTCTTTTATTTCTTTATCTTCTCTGATTGGCGTGGCTAGGACTTCCAAAACTATGTTGAATTATAGTGGTGAGAGTGGGCACCCTTGTCTTGTTCCTGATCTTAGAGGAAATGCTTTCAGTTTTTCACCATTGAGAATGATATTGGCTGTGGGTTTGTCATATATGGCCTTTAGTATGTTGAGGTAGGTTCCCTCTATGCCCACTTTCTGGAGAGTTTTTATCATAATTGGGTGTTGAATTTTGTCAAAAGTTTTTTCTGCATCTTTTGAGATGATCATATGGTTTTTATTCTTCAATTTGTTAGTATGGTGTATCAGCTATTATTTTTTTAAATATGTTTTTTGCCCCTTTTCTCTCCCTTCTCATTCCTACACCCCTTAATGTGAATGTTAGTGTGTTTGATGTTGTCCCAGGGGTCTCTTAAGCTATCCTTCTTTGTTTTACTTCTGTTTTCTGTTTAGCTTGGGTGATTTCCATTGTTTTGTCTTCCAGTTCGATGACCCCTTCCTCTATATCATCTAATCTACTGTTATTTTTTTCTAGTGTATTTTTTATTTCAGTTATCGTGTTCTTCACCTCTCTTTGGTTCTTCTTTGTATTTTCTAACTCACTGTTAAAATTCTCACTGTTTCATCCATTCTTTCCTCAAGTTTGTTGAGCATCTCTCTGACCATTACCTAAACTCTTTATTGGGTAAATTGCTTACCTTCACTTCACTTAGCATTTCTTGTGGAGTTTTATCTTATTTTGAAAATATTCCTTTGTCACCTCATTTTTCTGGTTCTTTGTTTTTGTTCTTCTCTGTATTAGACAGGCTGGTTATATTTTCTGATCTTGGAAAAGTGGTCTTAAGTAGTAGACATCCTATTCATCCCAGCAGCACACTCCCCGCTGGTCACCAGAGATGTATTCTCTAGGGGTGCTTCTTATATGGGCTGCATGCGTCCTTTTGTTGTGTTAGGGCCAACTACTGTGGGTGCACTGGTAGGTGTGGCTGGCCCTCAGCCCTGTTGATGGCCAGGCCCTGCCTAGTGCAGAGGCTGCTGGCCACTGGTGGAAGGGGCCAAGTCCCAGGATGGCTGGCTATGGGGACCATGTTGTCCCAAGGCTGGTGCCCACTCACTGGTTGGGGAGGCCAGCTCCTAATGCAGCTGGCTGAAGTGCACCAGGGGGTCATGTGTCTAGTGCCAGCCCAAGTATGGAAACAGAGACTCCACTCTTAAAGAGAGAATGCAAAATCTCACACGCTGTACTAGTGGTCTAACACTAGCTCCATGACCCCTAATGCAGAATCAATTCCTGGGGTGGCTAGCTGCAAGCCAGGGGGTCCTGGAGCTAGTCTTGGCCTGCTGATAGGCAGGACCAGGTTCTGCGGATACTGGGGACTGGGGAGGGGGGGCCACCTATGGCTTCTGCTGGCTTGCTAGTGGGTTGGACTAGTCTCTGCATTGCTGGCTGCTTGGCCTCGGACATCACAGGACTGGTGACAACTGGCCTTTGGGTGAGGCCAGATTCCAGTGCTAATAGGCTAGTGGGAGGACTTCAGAATGGTGCTTGCTAGCACCAGTGCCCTAGTGGCAGCATGAGCTCCTGAAAATGGCTGTTGCCAACATCTGTGACCCCAGGGTGAGAATTGCTTGCCTCCCGCCTCTCCAGGCGACTCTCCAAGATCAGCAAGAGGTCTGACCCAGGCTCCTTTCATATTACTGCCTCTGCCCTGGGTCTTGGAGTGTGTGAGATTTTGTGTGCACCCTCTAAGAGCAGAGGCTCTGTTTCCTACAGACCTCTGTTTTTCCCAAATGCAAGTCTCACTGACCTTCAAAGCTAGAAGTTCCGGGGACTCATCTTCTCTGTCCAGGATCCTCGGTCTGGGGAGCCCAATGTGGGGCTTAGACCCCTCGCTCCTTGGGGAAATCTCTGCAATTGTGATTATCCTACTGTTTGTGGTCACCTACCCATGGGTGTCGGTCTCGACTCTACTGTGTCTTCACCCCTCCTCCCATCACCTTGTGGTTCCTTCTTTATATCTTTAGTTGCAGACGATCTTTTCTGCTAGGCTTCAGGTCGTTTTCATTGATAGTTTCTTTGTAAATAGTTGTGATTTTGGAAGGAGGTAGGCTCAGGGTCTTCCTTCTCCACCATCTTGGTCACCTTCAGGAGATTGTTAAAGAGATCTTTAGGAGATTCTTCTATCTGTTCAGTTTTTTAAAAAGTCACAAATATAATTTCATGAACTATTTAAACTAATACACACCTAGGTGGTGCTACTGTTGAAGAAAAGTGCCTTTACCTCTAGGGGATCCTGAGTATATAGCAACAATACAACTTAAATGTGCCCTTAAGCTCGTGTTAAATAGTAGAACAGCTTGTGCTCAGAAGGCACTGATAGGTCTCAGTCTTCACCCGTGCTCTGTCATTGACTTGTCACAACAACCAACTGAACTGAACAGGATCCTGGTCCACAAATCTTCATGATACAATCTACCCACACAGAAGAATTTCTTTACAATATCATACAAATTGTATCCAGGTCTTGGAAGAAGTTAGGTTTTCAAGCTCTGAAGACAAATTTTGCTTGTTTTATTGTTTGTTTTGTAGGTCAGTGATCAAAAAATATTTGTTGCCAACATAAATGAAAAAATGAATGAATGAACATGGGGTGTGAATGTAATACATAATTTCATAATGTCCTAACTTTTCATCTGGAAGGACTCTTTCCGTACTTTTGACAAACTCAATAAGTATCATGTATTGATGACAGTTTGCTCACAGATTCACAACTTTTTGATTGTTTCATTTTTATTCCTTCTATTTCAGAAGCTCTTGAAAAATACATCAAGTTGAAAGAGACCCAGCTTACTCTCGGGCAGGACCAGAGCCATGAGCAATAATGGAACAGACCTCACCACTGGTTTCATCTCCTCTATTGTAGCCATCCTTTTGTTTGGCTCAAACTTTGTACCACTTAAAAAATATGAGACTGGCGATGGTAGTTATGTTTCCTTCATTGTTAGTCTTAAATTAATTTTAAATGTGAAGTTCACTTTTTCTGTCTTTTTAAAATGATGGCTATAAAAATGAATTTTGCTGTACCTGAAGCCAAATGAATAGAGCTTAAAAAAAATCATTTGACAATGCCCATGCCATGTTATCTGACTGCTAGTCAGTATAGGATAACCTTAAGATTGTGTTTCATCATAAAGCTAGGATGGGGAAAGCCTTTTAGCCATATCTGTTACGTTTAGAAAAGAAGGAAGTTAGCTCTACTGATAACACTTGTTTTGCAAACACAAATTGCCACCACAATTGATATAATAGAAAACAATTTGCACATAACACGAAATCTGTGTTTGCCTACGAGCAATTTTCACTCTGACAAACATTAGGTGAACACAGAAAACTGCACCCAGATGAACAAAGATGCACAGCAATGCACAAAATATGCTCACACACACCCCTTCACACAACCACCAGGTCTGTTACACCACACCCATACACATCTGGTGTTCAAACCCTCATTCACCACCTTCCCAATAATTCACAAGCTACAGCACTTCTGACATCCATTTGCATAAGCCAACCTCAGATCTTTTTTAAGGTAAAGTTCCATATTTATTGCAGCATTTGTGAATGTCTTAACCACTTAACCAGTGTAAAACTGCACTACCATCGTTTTAGGCTCCTATCTTTTCTTAATAAGTTGTTGATGGAGTTTCTGAGTGTTGTGTCCTTAGCCCCATTTTCCCCCTAAGCTCTGCAGGCTTTATCACATGATTTTACACAGTGCGGTGATGTTTAGGAACACACATGTCACTTTATGGTAGAACTGACTGTAATGTGAATTATAGGGAAGGAGAAGCAGTAGTTGTTTTTATCTACCTGCCTTTCCTGTTAAAGCCAGGAGGAGAAATTGGGGATGTTATGGTGAAAGCCTGGTGGGAGGCATTGTGTTTTCACTCCAATTTATGTCTTTTTTTTTTTTTCAACTTTATCTCAGCCTTTTTTCTTATGTCTTTATACCACTAAGACAATAGAGTTACAAATCCTTTCCCTCCAGAGCCTTTCTTCTTCTCCCCTTTGGAGTTAGAACAGGAATGAAAAGTGCTAAAAAAATAACAAAAAACATACTAAGGGTTAGAGGACCTGACTTTTGGGTGTTCTACAAGAACTGTGTGATCCCAGACAAACCTTATCCACTCTTTTGTTCTCAGTTTCTCTTTTGTAAAATGAAGTTTCCTTTCATCTCTGTGTTCTTACTTTTTTGTCTTAGAGGTTAACAGCCTTTTTTTCTCTCCCCCACCGTGAGATTGAATAGAAATAGGGAAAATTTTCCAATAGAGTCAAAAGTGCTACACTGAGTTATAACTACCTTAGTGTTTTTTCCAATGTCGATGTTTTCTGTATCCTTTTAATCCCTAAACCCTCCTTCTAAGCCTCAGAAAAGTACAGATACACCTCATATCACCATGTGACCTTCAAGTAACTGGCAGAGCATAGGAAGGGGAGTAGCCCTGACCTAGAAGGCTAATTCTCAGGTCTGGAATGTCTGACTCAGTGCAGACACTCAACTCCAAGTGCATGAGACCTACATATGGCCATAAAGGACTTTATGCTTATCCCAAAATGGCACATGTGATCCCCAAAGGTTTAAATTACTATCATGCTATTGTGAAGTTCTTAATGCCTTGTCTTTGGTGAGGAATGGCACTAAGTATAGCATCTGAATAAAAGTACATAGTCTTGGTCTTGCCAACATTCTTTGGTAGAAAATTTTTGATCCCTGTTAAGCTGGAATGCACAGTGTAGAGCAAGCTTTGGAGTCCAGTTGAATTTAAATTCCAGTTTTACAGACTGTTAGCTATTTGGACAAGTTGCTTCATCTCCGGTTCATTTTCTGTCTTTGAATTAAGGTTAATTATGATGCATAGTAGTTACAAGAAATATAATAAACATGTAAAGTGCCTGGCATAGAGGCATGCAATAAATTGTGACCATTACTATAATAATTCGTTGATATTCCTAAGCACACTAATTCCTTAGATCAGTTTGAACCAATGACACCAGTTTGTTTTTTTTTTCCAGGAATGTTTCTCCAGTGGGTACTTTGTGCTGCCATATGGTTGGTTGCCTTGGTGGTCAATGTGATATTACATTGCCCTAAGTTTTGGCCTTTTGCAATGGTTGGGGGCTGCATTTGGGCAACAGGTAATATTTGATATAATTTATTCTTTAATCATTTTATGCTATGATCCAAATAAATCTGGTTCATAGTAGAAGGAAACTAAATGAACAATTTAGTTTCTTTCATTTATATGCTCCATAAATATTTTTGGTACGTTTCCTGACTCTTTCCTTTTAATGATTTCTTTCTTAGTTCCTGGTAGATAATTGTGATAGTAAAATTATTACTATATATTATATGTATAATTATATAAAATTATTATAGGAAAAATGTTTCACTCACTATCTGTTCAAGCATAACTCATGTATTAGTTTAAGTGCTCTGGTCTTTCTTTCTTTCTCTCCCATTATGTTTGTCAGAAAATATTTATTAAACAGTCGTTTCTACTACTATCATCTTTAGGACTTGTCCTTAAAAGTAGACAAACACAGACACATTATCATTTCAAAAGCACTGGCAGAAAAACAAAAGCAAACAAAAACCTTCCCTCTGTTGCCTTCTCACTGTTGCCTGAAGTTATATAACTAGAATTTACACCTTTGCTTGGCCAATCAGGAATGCTTTTCTTCTATTAATATAAATACACCCCAGGAGAGTTTTCTTCTCTTTAGCAAAGAGAATCCCAACTATCAAGGCTCTCTAGAGGCAATTTGATTAAAAGCAAATGAATTTTTAAACGTTAAAAATGTATTAGGTAACTACTTAATTTGAATCTCTACAGAATTAAGTGACTTAGTGAAGATGATGAGTTGGAGGACAAAAGAGTTAACTTTTAAATTTCCACTAGAGTTGTAATTATTATAGCTCACTTATACCTTCGTATGCTTATGATTGTCATGTCTAATGGGAGAGGGGAACAGAGAAAGCAACCATTCATCCTGCAGATCTTGACAACCACCATAGTATCTCTATTCACCCAGCAGGTCCCACTGGGAGTCGGTGGGTTAGAGTCTAGTTTGAGAACTGCTGCAGACGGGGATGCTGTAGGTTACAGTAGCTGATTGAATGTGGGGAGCAGAGGAAAGGGAGGACCCAATGGTAATGTAGGGATTTTCTCGTAAGTGATTAGGAGAGTGATGGTGTCATTGACTTGGATGAGGAAAACGGGGAAGAGAACGTGTCCGAAAGGGAAAATAATGAGTTCAGCTGGGACCTTTTGAGCTGAAAGTTCCTGGTGTTGGAAATTTCTTTTTTTTTTTTCTTTTTATAAATTTATTTACTTTTGGCTGTGTTGGGTCTTCGTTGGTGCGTGCAGGCTTTCTCTAGTAGTAGCGAGCGGGGGCTACTCTTCATTGCGGTGCCCAGGCTTCTCATTGCAGTGGCTTCTCTTGTTGCGGAGCACGGGCTCTAGGCGTATGGGCTTCAGTAGCTGTGGCTCACGGGCTCCAGAGCACAGCCTCAGTAGTTGTGGCGCAGGGGCTTAGCTGCTCCGTGGCACGTGGGATCTTCCCGGACCAGGGCTCGAACCCGTGTCCCCTGCATTGGCAGATGGATTCTTAACCACTGAGCCACCAGGGAAGCCCAGGAAATTTCTTATCGAGACTAAAACTCTGGAGAAGGTCCAGGCTAGCACTGGGAGCATGTGACTCCAGCTGATAGCTGAAATCATGAAACTAGTCAAGTACCCAAAGAAGAATATAGCAAGAGGAGGGGTGTGTTCTAGGGAAAATATTCAGAGGGCATCTAAATCCGGAAGGTCTGATGAGAAAGAGAAGCCAGAGAAAGAGAGAAACAGGAGGGAACTGGGAGATGAAGAGATCTTGGAAACCAAGAGAGGGAACCTTTCCAGAGGAGATTGACTGAGACCAGACAGCCAGTCAAGAACTGGAAAGACGAACCATGAATTTAGTCCTGAGCACGAAGCACTGGGTGCAGGACTCCAGAAGACAAGTGGGTGAGCATGGGAGAGCAAAGTCTGGGCCGTACTGGGACAGGGACATCTGCCAGCGGTTGGCCCTGGTTCGAGTCGTAGGGGATGGTCACTACTGATTTTATCATTGACCAGTTTCTGCAAAAAGACATAAAACAGAGACCTGTGCTAAGGACGAAGAGCATTGGTGCAGTTAGGCAAGGAGCTAATTCAACATTTTCTCTGTAGGATTTTGCCCTAAGCCTGGCTCTTTTAGCAGTCATAATCATGAGTTTAAATGCCAAAACATGTGGCTGTTTTATTTTTAAAATGACGAATTGCGCTTTACTAAGTTTGTCCAAATCCCATAAGCTTTTTTTTTTCATTTTTATTAAATCTTTATTTTGTTTTATTTTTTAACATTTTTATTGGGGTGTAGTTGATTTACAATGTTGTGTTAGTTTCTGCTGTACAGCAAAGTGAATCAGTTATACACATACATATAACCACTCTTTTTTAAGATTCTGTTCCCATATAGATCATTACAGAGAATTGAGTAGAGTTCCCTGTGCTGTACAGTATGTCCTTATTAGTTATCTATTTTATATATAGTAGTGTGTATACGTCAATCCCACTCTTCCAATTTATCCCTCCACCCCCACTTACCCCCGATAACCATAAATTTATTTTCTACATCTGTAACTCTATTTCTGTTTTGCAGATAAGTTTATTTGTAGCCTTCTTTTAGGTTCCGCATGTGAGCAATATCATATGATATTTGTCTCTGTCTGACTTACTTCACTTAGTATGATCATCTCTAGGTCCATCCACATTGGTGCAAATGGCATCACTTCATTCCTTTTTATGGCTGAGTAATATCCCATTGTATATATGTACCACATCTTCTTTATCCATTCCTCTGTTGATGGACATTTAGGGTGCTTCCATGGCTACTGAAAATGCAAATCAAAACTACAATGAGGGGTGAGCTGTGACAAAGCGAGAGAGAGGCATGGACATATATACACTACCAAACTAAGGTAGATAGCTAGCGGGAAGCAGCCGCATAGCACAGGGAGATCAGCTCGGTGCTTTGTGACCATCTAGAGGGGTGGGATAGGGAGGGTGGGAGGGAGGGAGACGCAAGAGGGAGGAGATATGGGGATATATGTATACGTATAGCTGATTCACTTTGTTATACAGCAGAAACTAACACACCATTGTAAAGCAATTATACCCCAATAAAGATGTTAAAAAAAAACACAAAAAACTACAATGGGGTATCACCTCACACCGGTCAGAATGGCCATCATCAAAAAACCTGCAAACAATAAATGCTGGCGTAGATGTGGAGAAAAGGGAACCCTCCCATGAGCTTCAGCTGAAATTAAAATAAAAATTAATTCAATTGATAAACTTGTTTTCTGTATTGGAAATAACACCTTTCTTCTGTATATTTCATCTACAGGAAACATTGCGGTTGTCCCAATTATCAAAACCATTGGTTTGGGCCTTGGAATCTTAATCTGGGGATCATTTAATGCCTTAGTTGGCTGGGCAAGCTCAAGGTAACACAAAGCAAAGTGTTTCAACTATGATTCTCTGCACTCACCCTCTGTGTAAGGCCAGTGCTAAGCATGGGACTAGCTGAGAGGAATAATGCTTGGTTCCTACCCTCACAGAGGCCACTACTGGTAAGGCATACACATAACATATGCTACCTTGAATTACTATTTCCCTTAAGTTCTAAAGAAGTGATCTGACACTCTGATCAAGATAAAGTAAAGAATTGTCTCTAGGGAACAAAGCAGGGAGAGAGAAAGGACACTGATATTTATGTTCCCTTTCTATGTGTGGCAGTTTGCTGGACATATTATATACATTATTCCCATCTCATTTTCACAACTGTATGAGGTAAGTGCTATCTTATAAGAGAACTGGCACACAAAGAAGATGAGGGACTTGCTGAAGTTCACAGAGCTAATCAGCCATAGTTCTAAAGCCCATATTCTTCCCTCTGGGGTCTGAGCCAGTGTCAGCAAACCCTGGTCCAGCTTCCCAGCCATTTTTGTAAATAAAGTGATATTGGAACACAGCCAAACACATCCGTTTAAGGAGTGTCTGCGGCTGCTTGTTCCCTATAATGGTAGAGGTGGGTAGTTGCAAGAGGCCACCTAGCCCGCAAAGCCTAAAATATGTACCCACTGGCCCTTAAAGGGAAAGTTTGCCAACCTGCAGCTCTAGAGCTGAGCTGTCCAGATCGGGTCACCGCAAGCCACATGTGGCCATGTGTATTTAAATTTAAATTAATTAAAATGTGACAAAGTTAAGCATCGAGTTCCTCGGCTGCGCTGGCCACGTGTCAAGTGCTCTATCGCCGTATCTGGCGGAAGCTGCCCTATGGTCTGGTGCAGCCTGGGAACAGCTTCATCTTCTGAGAAGATCCTTTTGGACTGCACCACCCTCGGTCAGCATTAAGATGAACGTTCAAGTTGAGTTTGGGAAAATAAATAGAAAGGGGGCTTTCACTCTAACCTTGCTTTCCGGGCCCCTCTTCCCGCTCAAAACACTACAACAACCTCAGTTATAACAAAGCCAGCTAAGTTCCAGTACATTCTTTCCTGTCCTTTCCTCATCCCCGCCCTGCTTTTTACAAGTGCTATTGTCTTTTTCCTGTCCTTGCCTCCTTTCTCTGGCCCTGGGTGGTTCACAGTGATGGTCGGTGATGATCAATACAACCTCAAGACATGGGGAAAAAAAAAAAAAAGAATTTAAAGGGATGCCAAAGAGCAGCGATCTTTAACCAAGCAGTTATTGAATCTATTTCAAGTATTATACAAAGTAGCAGTCAACTCACCAGCATTCAATTACCCACTTAATCTAATTTTTCTTCCTTCTTCCTTAGTCTTAATGAGAAAGGGACTTTTTTTTTAGACAAGTATTTTTACATATACTAGCTCATTTAATCTTAAGAAACCTGTACGTGAGGTGTAATTGGAGGTGTAATTGTCCCAGTTTTAAACATGGGAAATTGAGGCCCAATAAAGATAGTTAACTTATCCAAGTCACAGGTAGGAGGTGAGGGACCTAGGATTTCAATCCAGGAATCTGACCCCGAGTCCATGGCCTTAAACACTGTGATGAACACATATTCAACAATATCTTCTTTGATATGACTCTTTCCATTTCCAGGTTTGGCTGGTTTGGAATGGATGCAGAAGAGGTGTCAAAACCACTGCTCAATTACATCGGAGCCGGGCTGTCAGTAGTAAGGTACATGGCCCTTTTTATGATTTAACTCTTCTTCCCAACATTCAGGACACTTGTTAAAGATCCTGATGTGTGGGCATTGCTTTACACCCACGTCTCATCAATCAACATGATTTTTTCTGATTCTTCATTTACATTGACAGGCATGGCTTCAGGGGACAGAAAGTATCAGCTCTGGGGTCAGGGGCCCCAGCCTCAGTGGTCAAAAGCTCCGAGACCCTGGGAAACCTTTTAGCTGCTGTGAAGCTTATTTTCATTATCTGTAATATTCAGAAAAATCATAAGACATAGCTCATAAATGAGGACCAAATGGAGTTAAAGTATTTTGCGAACTAGAAAATGCTCTAAGTCAACGTTATTCTGGCTTCCTGGTGCTCTGAAATAGCCACTGATTCTCTCTTATTACTCAGGTATTCTTTGCCACTCAGTTCCCACTTTCCTGTCACGTCACTCAGCTCTTCTCAACCGGCTCACGTAACCACTCTCTCACCTGTGACGACACACAGTCATGTAAATACCTGCTTGGGGATGTCTAGTTATATTCACTGGCTGAATGGAAGTGTTCAGCCCATAAAACCATCACAGAATTAGGTCACCTTAGATTCGGTCCCTTTTCCTCTCTAGACTCCATCTGTGTTTCCTGTCGGCACCTCTCATGATGGATAGTATTGCCTGTGAAGGTTTTAGTCTTTTTTATTCTTCAGGGAAAGAACACTATAGTTCCCTTCCTCCTGCAGTTGATGGCTTTTCTCCAACCACATTCAGGAACAATCTCTTTGTCGTTGAAATGTTGCCTTAGAGAGTTCTTCCAGGCCAATCGGAGAGGAAATAACATTGATTATTCTAAAATAGCAGATTCTTGACATTTTTGGTTAGAGGCAATTTTGTATATTTTGTACAATTCACAGAGCATTCAAGCTTTGAAGAGCTCTCTCAGAAAACATTTCTTTACGCCCCAAAATTGGAACGTAGAATGCCTTCGTCTTGACTTAATGATAATTTGAGGCCAATTTATCCACTCCATCAGGCTTTGTTTTTCTCCACGTTCCTTCTCCCTTTAGAAAGTGTACATTCTCTAAAATTACAAATTATTCACGTTCTATCACTTCTACTTGTGTGACCTTGGGCAAATCACTTAATTTCTCTAAACCTTGGTTTCTTCATCTGGGGATAAAGTGGGGCTAATAATTGCACCAGCCTCATAGGATATTTTGAGGATTAAATAAATATGTTCAGTGCTATGTGTAGGGCTAGACACATGGCTAATGCTCCATATGGCGGGTAATTTTAATTACAACAGTCACTCTTTTAATTAATAACTATTTCATGTTTGGTTACTGTTACCCCTTTGGATCTATGTTGTCCAACTCAACAGTTAACTAGCCAGCGTGTCTGGGAGTCACCCAACTTAGTCTGGATCTTGGTCTGAGGCAGGAAAAGGCAGCGATCTCTTCTGTGGTGCATCCTGGCTCTCTTCTAAGTTTCTTTTGTTGACCTGAAACAAATAGACGGCCAGATTGTCCCCAGCAAAAATGGGTTTATTCAGGACCAGCAGAGAATTGCAGTTCAGGGTCTGCGACCATGGCGAGCCAGTACAAGTCCCTCACATCAAGGGAAGGAGAACGCTTTTATAGAGAACACAAGGAAGTTGGGAGGGTTATAGTAAACGAGGCGTCCACGGCTGTCCATTGGCTGAGGCCTGGCCAGGAAGCAAGCGGGGTCTGTCTCTTTCCCGTTGGGCTCTGCTATGATCCCAGGACATGCGAGCTCCCCATTCTGCTCTCTCGACTCTATTTAACTGAGTTTTCTGTTTGTTAATATTTTTTACCCTTTACTAAAAGGGATTTCTGGACCCTTTCCATTTTAACTCCGTTAAATCAGTTTGTTCTGAAAGGAATTCATTGAAATGACTTGGAGTTTCATAGCCAGCATAAGGAAACTTGGAATCTGGTTACATTGGTTTAGGATGTTGCTTTTCTTTTTAAAATGGAAACAATTGCTCCCATCCTCTGGACAGTCAATTGTAAAGTATTGCTAAGGTCATGTCTAGCCTTACATCTTCCCTACGTGTTATCCAGGTTAAGTATCAGTCAGTTTCCATATCCAAAACCACCCCAGGCATCTTAAACAGCAGAGGATATAGCACAGGGAATTGTTGACAAAAAGTTTTATAAAGCCCAAAAGAGCAAAGGGAGAAGGTGGCATCACCCAAAGCCCCAGGGCACCCACCCCAGCTGGCACTGTGGGGAGAAATGTGTCTGCCCTGAGCTGCTGACACCCCTGCAGCCACCCAAGGCAAGATGATGCCCGACCCCACCCCACCCCCACCGCTGGCAAAGCCGGGATGAAGCACAGTTTGGGCAAATGTAGTTTTCAGTCTTCTAGTCCCCATGGTTCAGGGTGGAAGTGGAGCGGATGCCAAGAAACAAGTCCAGGACACTCTCTCAGACATGCTTCAGTGAAGATCCAGGAGTCGGAGTTCACAAGAAGACAGATTTCCTTTTCAATTAAAACAAGGCTTTGAGGACTTCCCTGGTGGCGCAGTGGTTAAGAATCCACCTGCCAACGCAGGGGACACTGGTTCGAGCCCTGGTCCGGGAAGAGCCCACATGTCTCGGAGCAAATAAGCCCATGTGCCACAACTACTGATCCTGCACTCTAGAGCGCTCGAGCCACAACTACTGAGCACACGTGCCACAACTACTGAGCACACGTGCCACAACTACTGAGCCCACGAGCCACAACGACTGAGCCTGTGTGCCACAACTACTGAAGCCCACGTGCCTAGATCCCGTGCTCCGTAACAAGAGAAGCCACAGCAGTGAGAAGCCCGTGCACCACAAGGAAGATTAGCCCCCACTCGCAGCAACTAGAGAAAGCCTGCGCACAGCAAGGAAGACCCAATGCAGCCAAAAATAAATAAATTAAAATTTTAAAAAAAAGGCTTTGAATTATCCTTGCATCTACTCTCCATTCTTTTCTCTACTTCCTTAACTTGCTTCCTCTGTAGAGTTGTGTTGTGAGGAAACCCAGATCTTTGATTCTAGCAGTTAGCTTTCTTCAGAGCCACAGTCCTTACGTAGAACTGCGGATCAGGCTAAACATCGCGACGTGCATGCCCCCCGGGTGCCTCCTACTCCGTCTCAGGTGGGGCTACCTGTGGAAGGGGACCCTGCCAGGTCAGGCACAAGGTCAGCCCTGCACAAACCCTGGGCTGCTGGTTCCTTTCTATTTGCCTTCAACATTTCCCAATCAGAATTACTTTTCTTACTTTAGCCTTCCCTGAGCACTGGTCCCTCTTCCTGCGTTCCTTCTCTCCGTAGAAGGTATTAGCCACAGTCATTCAAATTCAGAACCTCGGGCATCTTGAATTTTTTTTCCTTTGTACCCGACCCCATATCAAATCCTGTAAAATTCTTTCTGAATCTTTCACAGGTTCCTCCTCTCCTTTCCCTCGGTCCCATACTACCTACCCACCTGTATACCGTAAAAATCTCACATCTCAGTTCCCTAGTTCCATTCTTTCCTGTTGCCAGTATGACTTGCTTGTATCTGCTCTCAAATCAGGACGTCACTCTTCTATTTAGGAACCCCTGAAGGCCCCCCACTGGATTCAGAATAAATCTGTCTCATTAATCCAGCGTGTCCTCCACAGTTAGAGATTCAGCACTTCTTCCCAGCACGGTTTCGCCCTGGGCTGTCAGCCACTGACCCAGGATTACTTATCATACCCGACACTTCCTTCAGCCCCAAAAGCCCTTTCCTCTGCCTCCCTGAAATATCAGTTAAGATTTCCCATTCTGTATGAAGTTTTCTTGATTTTCTTCTTCCTAATTATCAATAGAATGGGTCAACCCTAAACTCCCATTGTATTTTGCACTTCTTCTGTTACCCACATTCTCAGGGTCTGTGTTGTATTATTCAGACAACCCTCTGTATCCTTAAACTATGAGATCTTGAAGGACAAAGTCTGTTATTTTCTTTGTGCACCATTTCTCCCACCATCACTATCAGACTTCGCTGCACAGTGCTTGACCTATAATAGATGCTTGTTGAAATTAGTTGTCAGTGTAGACACACACGTGAGTTTTACTAATAGTAATGTGTATAGGGTTGCAAATCTAGGGAAATTGGAAAGGTTGAAAGTATAGAGAAGTACCCTTGCGTATAACATATTGATTTATTTTTAAAGTTTCCCATGCTTTTGAAAGCATTCACAGACTCCATCATGGAACTTTGTGTTTGACACACTGTACCAAGTTCTTCAAGTCTGTAGCCCGGAAGACCTTGTGACCTATTTGCCTTTATGTTCATATCCATAAGATACATCTCATTACCTTGTCCTAACTTAGTGCCACCAGATTCCCTCTTGACCTAATCGAGCTGGATTCTTCTTTCTGACTCACCCATTTCGTGTCTAGTATACAGGCTCAGACCACTGATTCCTTAGTCTTCATTTCTTCCTCATGCTCAGCACCCCATCTCCCATCCAATTTGTAGTGAAACTTCTCAACTAACATATTTTGAGATTTTATCATGTGCCAAAAAATACCCCAAGAATTTTGTAGCCATTACTATTTAATTCTCATCACAGTTCTGTAAAGTGGGTATATCTCCATTTTTTATTTTATTTATTTATTTTTATTTATTTATTTAAAACAATTTTTGGCTGCATTGGGTCTTCGTTGCTGCGCGCGGGCTTTCTCTAGTTGTGGTGAGCGGGGGCAACTCTTTGTTGTGGTGTGCAGGCTTCTCATTGCGGTGGCTTCTCTTGTTGCGGAGCCCGGGCTCTAGGCACACAGGTTTCAGTAGTTGTGGCTCGTGGGCTCAGTAGTTGTGGCACGTGGGCTTCAGTAGTTGTGGCTCACGGGTTCTAGAGTGCAGACTCAGTAGTTGTGGTGCACGGACTTAGTTGCTCTGTGGCATGTGGGAGCTTCCCAGACCAAGGCTTGAACCCGTGTCCCCTGCATTGGCGGGCGATTCTCAACCACTGCGCCACCAGGGAAGTCCTTCCCCATTTTTTAGATGAAAAAAGTTGAGGGTCAGAGAGGTTAAGTGATTTGTTGGAGGGTCACACAGTTGTTTGAAGAAGCACTCTAGGGCTTTTCTCTGTGTCCTTCAAGTATATTTCTAACATATCATCCTCTATTGCTATTAGAAAAACAGATGGGTCTATACAAAGCAGAGGGTTTTCATGGTAACTTTGAGGAGAAAATGCAGTTGCAGTGTCTAATGTTAGCTGCAAATTAACATATATATGAGCGCACACACACGCCTATTTAACAATTAAGATAGACACATATAATCAGGTTTCATGCATTCAATTTTACTGAGTGTCAGGTACTTCGAGGACCTTGAAGCAGATGGAAAATGTGGTTCCTATCTTCTATTGAATTGGAAAGTCTTTAGAGAAAAAAGATTACACGGACCTGTGGCAGATGGTCTGGACCGTGTGATGACGATTCTCAGTGTTTTGGGAATTCAGAGAAGAGGACAATAGGGGAGGACCAGCCGGGGGTGGGGCTCCCTTCTCACAGTCAGCACTTCACGTCTTCTCTAGTTTGGGTAAGAGGTGAGGACACAGTATGTCCAGCTAAGGAAGGCTCACAAGCGGGACGTACAAGCTTGGAGCAGGGGCTGGTCAGGGAAAGAAGTCCATGGGAGAATTATGTTGAGAAAGGTTGAACGGGGCATGAAGCAGAGAGCAGTAAAAATCAAAGCAAAACTTGAATTTCCTATGGAAGGGAATATGGAACCATTCACGTTTATAAAGCAGCCAAGAGACTGAACTAAGGAAGCTAACTCGACATTTTAAATTTTTGTACAAAAGATAGCATATCTGGGTTCACTAGTCTGCACTCAGCTACCTATACTATTTCAGTCTCATGTGTGCTTTGAAAACTTCTTATATTGCTTTAACTTTTGAACCGTGCAAGTGTTTTTAAAAAGGAATATCAAAAGTATGCCAAAGTTGTTAGTTTCCTTCAGTTAATTTAATATTTTAACACATTTTAGCATTTTGGCGTGGTTCAGAAGTCAAGGTCAGTGAGGCATTTGTTACAAAGATACTGGACATGAATAGTCAGTGCCTTGGGAGACAGAGGTTAAAGGGCAAAAAGGCATTAGGCTTACGTGTGTTTTGATCTCTTAAAATATACTCTGGAGGTCTTTCCATAGCAGAGCACAGAGGGCATCCTCATTCCTTTTTTGTGGCTGTGTCATATTCCACCGGGTGATCATGAAGGTCGGCTCACCTGAGTGTGTCTGTGCTTGTGTCAGAGGTCCCGGAGCGGGACTGGTAGGGACAAGAGTGGACACACCTATGCCTTTAGTACATGGCCTCAGGGTCTCCTCTGCAGGGGTCACACAGTTCTGCACTCACACCAGTGGTGCTTATCTCCTCGAGTTTGTCCAATTGAGGATGTTAAGCTTTGGGGGGAGGGGTTGTCAATAGAACAGGTGAGATATATTATTTCAAGGTGTTTCCATTTGTGTTTTTTACCGTGTGATTCCAGGGTTAAGCATGAATAAAAAGAAAGATGGGGCCATTGACTGAAACAAGAAAATCAGGAGAAAGATCTGATTTGGGAGGGAAGCTTATGAGTCTAGCTTTTAAGCTGTTGTAATTAAAGACAAGGAGAGATGTCAAAGAGAACAGCAGTGCTGGAGAAATGGCAGGACCCCTGAAGAGGCAGTTTGGAAGTAATCATCGTTTCATTAAGATACGATGTTTTCCCTTAAGTTCAGGCAACTTAATGTGAACCAGGGTTGTGATAAATGTCACTGAAATTTATTTTCTTTGCAGTGCTTTCATATTTTTGTTCATCAAAAGCAAAATACCAAATAACACATATTCTGTGGACACCACACCATTAATAACAGAGCATGTGAGTAGAGAATGAGAACCACCTTGATCTGAAACATATAATTAAGACGAAAGGAAAATGCATGAATTTGAATGCAGATAAGAGGGTAATGGGGTATTTTTTTTAAAATCAGGGCTGTCTGAAATATTTTAGCATATTTATTATGGCTAGGTCTATGTAGCCATCAATATTTCCACAGTAAAGATGCTCAACAAATACAGAGGTCTACTTCTTTTTGTTAACGGTAGATCCCTACTAGGAGATGTGCACACAAGCCCATATATTGAAGTAACTTAAGGATTTCCGCAGTACGGGAACACTGAATACTGAGAAGGAACATGAAAATGACTTTCGAAAGGGGGAGGAAGGAGGCTTTAAAGTAGGATTGGGAGAGGGCAGGGGCCACAGATAAGACAAAGCCAGTGAAAGGGTAAATCAAATCACACGAAAGTGGGAATTAGACTTGACTTTCTTCTATTTCTCTTTTCTGCCGTATCCCATTCCACTCAAAGGTGAAGACAGGAAACAAGTAAGGAGTCACTGTTTTGACCCTGAAGAACATAAATTAGTCTGGAATAGCAAGTCTAGGTTAAACAGGGGCAACCTTTACAAGACAGCCGCAGCACTAGTGCCAGCGGCTCCACATACAGAAGTGGTTCCAGGGCAAACCGCCACGGCCATGAGCACAGACTCCAGCACCACGGATGCTGAGTGTCTCGTGCGCCTGCCCAGGGCCCAGTGCTGGCTGCCGCCACCTCCCACCCACACACTGAGGCGCTGCCTCCCTGGAAGGCGCTGCCTCTACTCTTTACTTCAAAATGAACTGTTTCTTCCCCTTCCTTCTTCCCCTATCAAAACTTTTATCAACTAAGGTGACAGAAACCTTAGTTAAATTGACACTAAAGTCAAATGATAAGTAGCTTAGGTGTTAGAGGAAAGATGTATTGATCCGTAGGCCTCTCTGATCAGGGAGATGTTTCAGAGAGAATGAAGGAGTGAGATGGGGAGAAGGTGTCTGGTATTCCTTGCCCACTTTAGGGACCCAGATACCTCCTAACCAACTTCCCTGCAAACAAAGGGGGAAGAAAGGAAAATAAATGCAACTTGGCAAAAGCCACAGAGAGGGCTAACGACCTTAGATTTTTCCATCAAGACGGAAGTACGTAAGCAAACTTAAGTTTAAAGATACATAGAAAGTATTGGTTACGATGCTGCTATACATCACGAGCTGCTCGTGGGGTGAGAAAGCATGATTGCCAAAGGAAAGTTGATTTAGCACATAACGAAGAATTCAAATGTACAATAGTTTCTCATCTCTTATGAAAGCATTAGGAGTATGGCATGAAGGAAACTTCAGCCAGGAGACAAAGATGCTTACATTCAATAGTAGAAATATTCTGAATTTGCTCATAACTTTTCCTGACCTAGAATATTAGCTAATCTCAAAACAAGGCTGGAAATGTTTCATTAGCTAATTTAGTTAAAGAGTCTGGATAAAAATATGCCTACTGATCTTAGGTATTCCATAGTAGAAGAGTGGAAGTTCTAATTTCTTTACAAGTTATTAAAATTTGCAAATAGAATGCAAGCATTAATAACTTTTGTTAGCTTTGACAGGTGTATCAAAATAACCATCTAATAAACTGTGAAAAGCATTTAAACAGAGAAGTTGCCCACTGCCAGACCATTCTGAGTGACAGAGAAACAGAATCAGAAACATCTGAGTCTAGAGATGCCCACAGAATCAGTATGCAGGGTGACGTGGTCATATTTTAAAGTGCGTTTGAGAGAGAAGAGAAAAACGCTGAACATCTTCTTGTCACCAGTGTGGTTATCAGTTGAATGCTGTTTTCCTTTTGATTTTTGCCAATGTTTTCAATAGGTGGTTAACAGAACTCAAGACCCCGATCCTGAACATTCCTGGGTGGATAAACTTTCTACAGTGCAAAACCGCTTAGTGTAAGAAAAGGTTCTCTTATTCTGTTTTATATTTGGTTAATGCAAGAGTGAAGTCATATTCATCTGAGTTCAAGACGAAAATGGTAACACAAGCTTTGACTTCCTAGCTCCACGGTAGAGAGACTTTCGGGTCGCTTGCTGAATTTTAAGGTACAGAGGGCCTTGGTCTCAGTGCTCCAAGGAATTCCTAAGCCACTGCAGTGTCTCTAGCCAATAAGTAACTGACAAAAGCAATCTCATTTTGCAGGACTTTCATGCCTAAAGTAAAAGTAAAGTTAAAAAAAAAAAAGAAAAAGCAAAGTAAAGTAAAACCATAGGCCACAGAGTATAATGGCCAGTATGCTCCCAGCCATCCCGATCGAATTAGGTCCACGTCTCCATTACATTATCCAGGATGCTCTCCACTGGAAATCCCTCCACTCGTGTGTCAGACAGTTTTATAATCCCGAGATATTTATTGTCAAATACAGTAGAATATTTTGTGTCTGTGTAGGCCCTAGCGCCCACCCCCAATTCTTTGTATCAAGACCAGGAGAGTTAGGCTCAATGACAGCCCTTATATTTTAGGGTTTTGGGGGCTGACAGAGAAATATGAGAATGTTTATGTTTTATGTATGAAAATTTTGTATATTTTATATAAGAAATATGGATATGTAATAGTATGTAGCTTGCATTTTTCAGTTGAGGGATGTTTTAGACTTTCTGTGGTGACACCTCAAGAATAGGAGGCATGTCCTCTGTTAGTATATACAATGACCTCACAGTGGGAAAGAGGCAGTACTGGGTGCATAATAGATGCTCAATAAATATTTGAATAAATGGAATGAATGAAAGAATGAACTAACCCACATGCTTTGGAAGAAATAAATACGTTGCTATTTTTGCTTTGGAATAAAATAGATATATCAAACAAAACATTTTTCACAAAGCATTGCCTTTGTTAAGGGAATATTTGTTAAGGAGAACGTTTTCAGTTGTCTCATTGGCCAGCCTAGTCTATTACTCTGGTCCGCATTTGGGACCCTCGTCCAGGACCAGATGGTCTAGGCCTCCCCAGGATGCAGGGGTTTCCATCATGAACAGAGCTCACTGGCCATGTGAGTACCTACAGTCTCATATTCCTTAAAACACCACTAAAATAGACTTCATTTTTTGGGGGGGCCACACCCTGCGGCATGTGGGATCTTAGTTCCCCAGCCAGGGATCGAACCCATGACCCCTACAGTGGAAGCGTGGAGTCTTAACCACTGGACCATCAGGGAAGTCCCTAAGCATTTGTTTTCAAGCTTGGAAAGGTATGGTTTTTGCCTAAAACTCTTTCCTGTTTCATGCTATTGTTCTTTATATTAAGCCAAAGGGATTGTTGCAAAATATTATTCACCTCCCTGCCAAAACCACTGGAAGCCCTTGCTTCACGCAGATATAGCCCAAGTCTGAGGGATCAACGTGACCCTAGTGCTTAAGGCAAAACGTTTTCTTCTTACAGGAAGTAATGTTTTACCTGAAATATTCAAATGATTTTGTTAGGGAACTCCCTGGCGGTCCAGGGTTAGGACTTGGCGCTTTCACTGCAGGGGGCCGGGGTTTAATCCCTGATCTGGGAACTACGATCCCACAGGTTGTCAGCACAAAAAAAAAAAAAAAAAAAAAAGGTTTCTTAAATTATGTTATTAAATCAGCACTTCCCCTTGACCATGCCTAAGACATAGGCAAGTCTGTGGATCTCAGCAGTTGTTTTGAACAAACGTGTGTTTGGTCCTTAGTCTATTCTAGTCATTATTATTATCTGTGCTATTGTCACAGAGGGTTTAAAAAAGAAGCATAGGGCACGGTGTCAGTCTACAAATACTGCATAATTTAATGAGAGAGCCAGGTTTATTTATGTCGCCTGTAGAATATGGTGGCAATATTCTCACCTACGTAATGACAATTTATCATAATCCACTGCAGCGTCTGTAAATCATGTCCTTCCACCATTAGATGGTGGAGGACGGAAGCTGCATCACAGCAAGGTGGCATCAGGTACCTTGACCCTGCAGGGCACTCCTGGGGCTTTTGCTTGTCACCCCACTTGAGACAGATGGGTGATTGCTACACAATGCCTTGTGATTTCCATTTTGAAACATGCTTTTGATATGATCCCATGTGTGCGTTTGGCAGAAACATTGCTTTGGGCCCAGATGAATAGTGATTTATTTGTTTTTAAGGGGCTGCAGTCTCGCGGTAATATCTGGAATACTCTATGGATCCACATTTGTGCCAATCATTTACATCAAGGACCACAGCAAGAGAAATGATAGTATATATGCAGGGGCAAGTCAGAACGGTGAGAGGAAAAAGTTATTTTACTTTATAAATAAACTCACTACCCATGTATCTAGTTAAGAGTATAAAAAGAATGGGACTGTGGTGGATACTGGTACATAGATTTGTCGATGAAAATTCAATTAACAGTCAAGTTAAGAAGCGAAAAAAGGGAATTTTATCTGAGCCAAACTGAGGATTATAGCCCAGGGGACAGACTCTCAGAAGCTCTGAGAACCGTTCCGCCTGTTAAAAGGCAAACGCACTGTCACATACGTTTCCGAGACAAAGGATCGTACATCAAAATGACGTACCGATATTTTACGTAAAGTTCACCAAGGACACATAGTCCACCGTAAGCAGCTGCAAAGGAGCAGCAGATCACCATGGCCCGCTGCAGAGCTGGGAAAGAACAAGTCTTTTAAGAAGTTATCATACATTGGTAGCATCAGGAGCAAAAAAGAAATTGATCTTTCTGGTCAGGCAAGCACTCCCATTCTGAGAAGCTCCAGTTAAAGTGTAATGCAGATGCGTACCTCACATTAGGGAGGGAGGAAGCCCAGACAGACACAGAGAGAATTTTATGTCTAGATTTTCTCGGCGTGCCTTAAAATAAAATTTCATTTCATCAGATTTGATCTTACTTTGTCATTGCAAGTGGTGAGTTAGAAGGGCACGGGAAACTAAAAATAAAGGACTGTTGGAATATTTTCATGTGATCTTTAACATACAAATAGAATCAATTTTAGTCAGGGTTCGTTTCAGCTACTTGGATCTTAACACATGGTTTCTGGCTTTGCTGCAAGATTTGGAGATTATTTTCCAGTTTGATGATCTCTAGGAAAATATGTATTCTTCTCCTCTTTAAGAAAAAACAAAACAAAACCCTGAAGTGTAGCACATAGTACTTTAAAATCAAATAAAGGTCAAAATATAGCCTGCTTAGTATATCATTTTTCGAGCACAGAGTAACGCATTGAAAGGCCCAATGTAATGCTGCCAGATTATCTCAGTTTCTGGCGCTAGAATTAATCTCTCAAGACATCACTTCCACACAGTGTGCAACAGCCTTCTGCAGGCTCCGAGGAGGTGAGAGTGTCTAATTCAGGATCCTGTGATTATACTGAAACGTGGCTTACACCCACGAAACGATAAAAGAATGATATCGTGGTTAAGACAGTTCTACATCCGTGGCACAGGAAATGAATGTCATCTGTGATCCGATAAGGGAGACTTCTGGAGGGCAAGTCATGAGGGAAAGATTGATGGAGAAGCTGGAATTTGAACTCTAAATGAGCAGATAGACTTTGAGTGACTACCATGGTCTGTTTCTTCCTTCTTATATTCAGCCCCATGAACAGTACTCAAACTTTTATTAATTTCTGTCTTTTTTTTAAGATTTTATACAAATACCTTTTGTATTTTTATTCTTTTCATTTTAAAGGATAAAAACTAACAAAAGTAGGATAGCATAGGATAAATTAAGAGAGAAGGAAAAAAGAGTGACAAAATAAAAGAGCCACGAATGAGTCGAAAAACTGTGCTACACTTGTACACTTGCTAGTGATGAGTCATCATTTGGCTCTAAGATTTCTTACAGCCACAAAGGGAATCAGATCAGTCCCGGAATTCAGCAAACACAAGATAAAAACAACTAATTGTTCAGGAGTACAGTTGTTCTTGGTACTGGGACATAATAAACAATGTCCTCAACAATCTCTTCCCATAAATAGTACAATCAGTTCTTAGGGATCTTTCTTATGACAACTCAGATGTCATCTGATAGAGATACACTTTATTCCAATTTATTCAAAAATAATTCAAGGGGGCATATTTTTTTAATGTCACTTATTTAACAATCACATAAATGGTATATGCTCTGTGCTGAGCGCTGTTCTAGTTACAGTAATAACTCAAGGGACCCTCCTAGCAACCCTACTGGTTGGATACCATTATTATTCCAGTTTTACAATTGAGAAAATTAAGACAGAGAGAGAGTAGGTAACTTACCCAAGTCTCCAAGTTAACAAGTGGTGGATTGATGAGTCCCACCAGGTTGTCAGTGTTTTAATCACTAGATTATGCTGCCTTTTCTGGTGGTCTTTGGGTAGATGTGTTGTGATATGACTCAGAAGTAGGATTTAAGACTTTAGAAGAAGAGACAAACCCTTTGACTTTCAAGATTTTCTGGCTAAACAGGGCCACTCATCTTTCTCCAAATTTAGTTGAGACATCGAGCCCAGTGTGACCTTCCCAGTCAAGAACCTGCATTACACCCATCTGTTTGGCCAAAGGACCCTCTGCTTTAAATAGTCAGTGGAGTTGGATTTCTCAGATATTGGGCCACCATCTGTGTTATTAACTCCCCCGTGTAATTAGGTTTATAGAAAACAAATAAAATCCTCTTTGGAATAACTTCCTGAATGTCCTTCTGTATAGCTGCCTGGGTGGCTGCCATCTGCAACCTGGAAGCTTGTCTCCAGATTGATCAATACACCATAAAAAATGAGCACTTCTAAAATTTTTTTTACACACCATCCCCCAACTACAGTCTAGTTGCAGATTTGCTACAGGGGCTATAGCCATCAGTAAAATTCGGTCTGATACCGATTCTTAAAAAAGGAAATATGTTCTTTGTTATAAAGCAGAAACTCACACACCATTGTAAAGCAATTATACTCCAATAAAGATGTAAAAAAAAATAAAAAAGGAGATATGAACGTTATATTCACATAATGTTTGTCGTTTCTTATTTAGCTTTCCAAGATAATCATAAAAGCCAGTCTTTTAGATTTGATTATAGTAACTAACTTCTTACTATTTTAAATATGTTAATTAAAATTCTATATAAATAACATGTAGATGATAAAAGAGAATTAATGCTTCCTTTACATTTAAGGTTGATTTGAGCGAGTTTGTTTTATTCTTAGGACTCTGGATGTATTTGAAATGACTAACTGATACGCTTGAGAGTTTTCTAACCTGTATTTCCAGATTTAGACTACGTTTTTGCACACTTCAGTGGCATCTTCCTTGCAAGTACAGTCTACTTTCTGGCCTACTGTATAGCCATGAAAAATAATCCTAAACTATATCCCAAAGCAGTCTTGCCAGGTAAGAATATTAACGACAGAAACTCTTCTTACTCTGTGAAGTAAATCAGTGAAAGTATCATGCCCTATTCATTTAGCTTGAATAATCGTCTTCTGGAAACCAAGCCATTCTCTGCGTGCGTCCGTTTTTGTGTGTCTGTGTGCGTATGTGTTCATTCCCTCAGTGACTTTGGCCCAGCTCACCACCAAATATGAAGGATTTAAAAAACATGAAACTGGGTTTGAAATGCCAAGTCATTATTACAGAACCTAGAACTTGAACAATGAATCTAAGATTGTTTCCTGTGCTGAAACATCTTGTGTATTGAGTATCAGACTTTAGTATTTCTTCTTCACCAACTAAGGATGTATATTAAGAGTCAGAGTCCTGGGGCTCTCTCTATATTTTTATTTATCTATCTATCTATTTATTTATTTATGGCTGTGTTGGGACTTTGATGCTGCCCTCGGGCTCTCTCTATTTGCAGTGATCGGGGGCTACTCTTCGTTGAGATGCATGGGCTTCTCATTTTGGTGACTTCTCTTGTTGCAGAGCACAGGTTCTAGGCACGTGGGCTTCAGTAGTTGTGGCTCGTGGGCTCAGTAGTTGTGGCGCACAGGCTTAGTTGCTCCACAGCTTGTGGGGTCTTCCTGGACCAGGGATTAAACCCATGTCCCCTGCATTGGCAGGCGAATTCTTAACCACTGCACCACCAGGGAAGTCCTGTATATATTTTTAAAGTGTCAACAAATATGAATCTCCAGTCACTTGGGAAAATAAACATTTTCTCCAAAAATTTAGGGGAAATTATTTTAAAGTTTAAAAAAGTTATGTTAAACGCACATGCTTTTAGATTTAATCAGTTAGGCATTGGTAAAAGAAAAGTGTATATATAATGAAAAGTTATAATTTCTCACTTATTTAAGAGTTTGCTGTAATTCGATATGGAATATAGATCCACAAGTAAAATTTTTTAAAGAACAAAATAAAGCATGTGTCCGAGATTCACTCTGAGTGCCTGATTCATTTAAGCCAAAGTGTGCCACCGTACCACTATACCGTTATAGAAAATGGTAGGATATTTACTGAATGTCTAGCTAAAGTATCCTGAAAATTTTAGCTGCTATTTTTATTCAAATTCCAGGAGGGTTTTTTTTCCCCCCTTAGCTAAGCACTATCTTGAATTTCACATATTTTTTATATTGTCACTAGGGAAAACATTTTCTCCAAAAAGTTAGGAGAAATTATTTTTGAGCTTAAATATGGCATGTTAAATGCACATGCTTTTGAATTTAATCCACAAGGCATCGATGGTAATATATCTGTGTGTGCATATATACATACACACACACACACATATAATGAGAAATTACATGTATTATAAATATAATGAGAAATTATAATTTCTCACTTATTTAAAAGTTTGCTATAATTCAATCTGGAATATAGGTCCACAAGTAAAGTGTTTTAAAGAACAAAATAAAGCATATGTCAGAGATTCACTTTGAGTGCCTAATTCATTGAAGACAAAGTGTGCCACGGTACCACTATACCATTTTAGAAAATGGTAAATATTTACTGAATGCCTAGCTAAAGTATCAAAACTTTTAGCTGCTATTTTTATTCAAATTCTAGGAGTCTTTTTCCCCTTAGCTAAGCATCATTCTGAATTTCACAGATCCTTATGGTCATGGTTTAGAGTAAATGGTGTTTGCAGAATATGTTCAGACCCAGTGTCTTCCCTGGGTCCCCCTCCACTACCCAATCTTTACCTCAACTACTATTTTGGGTACTTGATTTCATGTCAGTAAGGTAAAAGGTGATCTTTATACCCACAGCAGTCAAGAAAAGAGAAATCATTTGGTTTCCAAAATGGTCCCAAAACATGGCTAAAAAACCCATGTTGGCCGTCAGTGTTGATAGGAGTGTGTTGATCTGAGCACTTTAACATTCCCGCTCTACCCGGAGTGTGGATTTTTCAGGAGGGGAGGTGGTTGGTAAACGTGTGGTGTGTGTGTGTTTCAGGATTCCTGTCTGGAATACTCTGGGCCATTGCTACCTGCTGTTGGTTCGTAGCGAACCACTCCCTCAGCGCTGTGGTCAGTTTTCCAATCATCACTGCTGTAAGTAGCTGAACTGCTTTTCCAAATTTTTGTTTTTCAAACGTAAATCTAATTTTTCTCAAGCATTCTTAGTGAATCACTGAAGCCTGTCATGGAGTTTAATTTTTCAGGAGTATAATTAGTATAACAGATTCATGTAGATAAACTGATACCCTCTAATCTCATGTCCTTGATCTCTAAGGGAATGTTGCTAACCTCATTTTAGCAGGTTTGTTCATCTTTGATAACCTTGCAGTTTTTGTTTGGACGTTTTACCTAATTTCGTTTGGGATACATTGTAATTTGCTATGGATAACAATATTCATCTCTCTATAACAGTTTATAGATGTAAAAAATGCTTTTGTGTGTATTGTCACACTTGAATCTCATGACAGCCTTGTGAGACAGAAAGTATTTCGGTCCCTGTTCTTAGGGCTCGTCAATATTTTAAGGAAGGCTTTCAGAAAGTGCTGAAGCAAAGTATTGTCTCTGGATGGTGGCATGTATCATGCATTCGTAATGCAGTTTGCTTCATCTGATGTTTTTAGGTGCCAATCCTGTAGCGCATAGGTAACAGAAAAACAAAAATGTTTCTTTTGACATAGGCAGGACAGGTCTTGTCAGGCTTGTGCCCATTTTGAAGATGAGAAAATTGAGGCAATAGCTGACAGAGTCGTCTGAAAGAACATGGCTACGTGGACATCTCAGGGTTTCTCAGGAGAGAGTTTCTTGCATGCAGGACTACATTTTGCCTTTAGTATAGAATCCAATTTAGAATGTTTCAGGTTCCTTATGGTACTAGGACCGAGACACACACACACACACACACACACACACACACACACACACGAATTAATTGCTTTAACGTTGAGCTCTTATTTCTACTCTAGTATCTTAGATTGTTAAGTTGTTTACCTGCCTCCCTGCTTCCTAAATCATCATCATAAACAAAATTTGCCTAAAACATTTTAGCAGCACACCTGTGCAAGCCTACAAAACTGATATTTTCAAACACATCGTCTGGTCTAAAATACAATTCCATAAAAGTTTGAAACATCCTTAAATTTTAATTTAAATTCTGGGTTTCAAACAGCATATTTTGACAGTTCTGTGTTCATAAAACTGTTGGCTTTATTTTTTATTTGAATTTAGTGGTACACTAAAGTGAACTATTTTAATAGGTTAGGTTTTTTTTAATTTAAAGGGCTCACATTTTGACCTTCTTAATTTCTATTGCGGGAAAATGTTATCAAAATTGAGCAAGTTATAAGGAATATATATATATATATATATATATATATATTTTTTTTTTTTTTTTTTTTTTTTTTGCGGTACGCGGGCCTCTCACTGTCGTGGCCTCTCCCGTTGCGGAGCACAGGCTCCAGACACGCAGGCTCAGCCGCCATGGCTCACGGGCCCAGCAGCTCCACGGCATGTGGGATCTTCCCAGACCGGGGCACGAACCTGCGTCCCCTGCATCGGCAGGCGGACTCTCAACCACTGTGCCACCAGGGAAGCCCTATAAGGAGTATTTTTAAGTTTAAGTCCTCATCATTGGAATGGCGAAAGACCCAAATTTTTCACAGAAAGGGTTTGTTTCTCATTATTTCAAAGATATTTAATGCTAGAAGTGACCATATAACAGGAAAATGTAATGGGCAATGGGATATATCACTTACCAGTGAAATGCTTAAAAGTAAATTTGTAGAGCAAAGTATACAGTATGATGTGCACCTCGACTAGGGATGCAAATGTTATTTGACAGTCATATCCCACTACATAAGGAGGAATGACACATTAAAATAGATGCAGTCATTAATCACATCAAATTTAAGCCACTTTTTGTATAAAATACTCAGATAGAATTAAGCCACACAAGACAAACAGAAATACAAATAGAAAATGAAAACTATGATACAAGTGAGAAAGTCAGCAAATAACACAGAGAGTAAATAGTTATGTGATTAAACACTGTTTTACTTTTGCTTGCAAAAGGGAGTGAGACAATGTGATAACTAATTCTTTTTAACTGGTAACATTATTTCCTCAGAAAAGACCAGTTATTTTCTAACACTAATATTTTTTTTGCTTTTGTTTTTTAAACACTAAATTCTTAATAGAATTTATCCTACGGGGCCTTATACAGGGGACGTGGAACAATAATAAATAATATTCTTCACAAAAATTTTATAGTGGATAGAGATATGGTTTTCCTCCTACTGTTTCTTGTAGTAAGTTATGGTAAAGCCTTCGCACAAGACATTAAAGCCCGATTCAGTGGAAATAAATGGCTAAGGCAGGTGGGATGCAGGCAAAGGGCCGGTGGAAGTGGTCACTGTGGCATTTGGAGACTTGCCCTTCAGAAGCGTGATTCTCAAACACTGTGATGAAAGCAGGCGTCTCACCCACCACGTGTGGCTTCCTCTGGCCCCTGAGGATTGTTTCCAGGAGGGACAGGTATTTCTGGGAGGTGAGGGCCTAGGTCTTTATTGCTACTGGGCTCTTGCTTGGCTTCACTGTCATTAGTTCAAAGACAGCCTTATCTGCATGCAGAAAAGATTCGGCCCTGCCCTTCAGGATCTTACCTTCTTCTTTATTTTATTTTCATGGTAGAGCTAGACTGGTTTTAATTTTAACTTTTTTTGCTGGAAAATTTCAAAGACACCCATCACCCAGCTTTAACAATTATGAATACGGTCAGTCTTGTTTCATCAAGAGTACATTTTTCAAGTCCCAGCAGCATACCCTTTTACCCTAGGACATGTATTTCCATTCTTAGGACCCATTGGTGACTAGACTGAGAGTTCCCTGAAAGCAGCATCTACATTGTTTATTGGCAAATATTCCATTAAAAAGAAAAAAAGAGAAGGAAAAGAGAAAGAAAGGAGAACAGCCCACGTAGCAGGACAGCGGGCTGGGTACCTGTGGTCCCGGTCTTCCTCAAGGAATTGAACGGCCGAATCAGCGTCTCAGGAAGGTGGAGCCTCTCCAGATGGCTCAAGCTCACCTTCTTTTCCAAGGCTGACTTATAAATGTGTAATTTGTACTCGTTTACAGTAGAAAACGACGCAATCCCAGTGCCAGGACAGCTGTGACTCTTATTTAAGATGCCCTTCTCCGTTGACCGTCCTTTGCCAAACCAGGGTCCGCACACACTTAGACTTCTGCTTGGGTTACATCTAGCAAAGCGCGGCTTCCAGCAACCACAGTGCTCCTTCCAATAACTCTGAGGCCATGTCTAAACTCATATTTAGGAAGTCATCAGCCAGAAAGCTTCAGAGGTCAGTGGTACCTCTTGGTATTTTCTTCTCCCACGTACTCTGAAGGGATGAAAGAGGATAAAATTCTTGAGTGATTGTCCTGACAGCATTAATATTTACACCCTATTCTATCATTTCCTCCCATCCTGCCCCAGGTCACTATGAATCTGCGAAAGGGCCCAGGTGCTTCTTGTTTGGTTTGGATTTTGAGGCTTAGGACCATACGTCATTGGTAGAAGACAGTTCCTTTGACCTATTTCTCTGGCTCTTTTGATCTTGACTTTTCAGATCCCAATAAACAGAGAGTAGTGTGTTCCTATTGCTTTGCTCACCTGCCAGGAGTGGAGTCCAGCTTTGCTGAACCAGTCATGTAGACAGTTGGAGTGGTGGAGGGGAAAACAGGCTGGGATTGTTTATTTGAAACTCTTCCAGAGCGTGTGCAGGGTTTGAAAAGGAATCGTCAAAATGCTGATACAGTACACCTTCTACACAAAGACTGCAATTAATCTAAATTCCAATGTTTTCCTTTCTCAGTGAAAAAAATTAATAAACTTTAATAGCTTCAAGTTTTCAGCTATTTCAGTTTTCAGAATCTTCCTTTTTCCATCTCATTTCTTCTCTTTTGTGCTGTATTATCTCATTCCTGTCTTTGTCTCCCGCTCACTAACCTGTTGTTTATTTTTCCTTACACAGTTTTCCCATCTTCCCATAATACTATCTGCAGCAATCACTAGAGCATAATGTGAGACATAGCTGATTACTGTGCAGTAATATCAGCTAAAGAGAACATGCTGCTCCCATATGCACATTATTTTTCAGGTCCAAAAGAACACACTAAAATTTCTTTAGTTATGATATTATCTAATGCCAAAGGAAGTTATAAGTTTATTCATACACGTTTTCCTCTTAAGCCCATTTCTAGAATCCTAAGGAACTAGTTCACTAGAAAAAATAAACTATTTGCTTATTAAAATATTTTATTATAAATCACATTAAAGAAACACATTGTATGGCATAAAATATTATAGCATCATCAAAATAATAAAAATGAAAACCATAGAGAAAAAAAAGGAAAAAAGTCTTCATTTTTTCACCTAACGCTACTTAGTTTAACTCAATGGTGAACTCAGATTGAGATTATGAAATTTTTTCCTGACAATATTGTTATATTTTTACAATAGAAGTTTATTTGAGGAAAGTGTCAGATCAGCTCTCCATCTTACTGTATTTGTGTAGAGTACAGTCACAGAAAAATAACCAATTTAAATAAAGTTCTTATTTTTTTTTAAGGGTCCAGGATTTATAGCTGCAATGTGGGGTGTCTTCATGTTTAAGGAAATACAGGTATGTACACGAAAGGTGCAGGTCCAGTTGAGAAGGGTGTTTAATACTATGTGTTATTTTCTGAAAATTGCATGCAACATGAATGAATTTGACAGGTCAGATGTTCAAAGTGCTATCATCTCTAACTAGGAAAGAAGATATTAATGATGTGACAATTATTATGAACATGTTTTTCTCCACCCCAACTTCAGGGAAAAATGCTTTAGTTGACTTTATTTTCCTGTAAGAGATTTTGGTTAAATAATCCAATAAAATATGATAGAGGGGAAATTTTATCTATTGTAAAATATGGTAGATAAACAAGATGAAATATTTTTTATCCCAAAGATTAAAATATCCCTGAGGCAAATGGAATTTGGGAATAGATTTTCTGTTGGCTCTCATGCCTCCCAAGGTCTTCCATATCCAACCACAAGCTTTACAGGAAAACAGTGTGGTAACAGGTGACAACTACCTCTTCCCTCGAGTGTAAATGGTGCTGACATTTTTTTTTTTTTTAATTTATTTGGCTGTGCTGGGTCTTTGCTGCTGTACGCAGGCTTTCTCTAGTTGTGGCAAGCGGGGGCTACTCTTCGTCGTGGTGCGTGGGCTTCTCATTGTGGTGGCTTCTTTTGTTGTGGAGCACAGGCTCTAGGTGCACAGGCTTCAGTAGTTGTGGAACGGGAGCTCAGTAGTTGTGGCGCATGGGCTTAGTTGCTCCGTGGCATGTGGGATCTTCCTGGACCAGGGCTTGAACCCATGTCCCCCGCACTGGCAGGTGGATTCCTAACCATTGCACCAACAGGGAAGCCCCCAATGGTGTGGACTTAAAATTGCATTTATCAAATAGTTCTAGGATGTGTGTGTGTATTCTCATTAAAAATTGTTTTAGGATTTTTCCCCTCTACCTTTATTTGTGGAAAAAGTCTTCAGTTGAGCAATCTACGTGAATAGTATTTTGTAATAGTTTTTACTAAAAAAATATATAAACTAGAGACACTGTCAAGGCATCATAGATATAATACTTTTTGTCTTAATAAGCAGCAAATAATTCCTATTTCTAAGAAGATCTGATGTTGCTAATCTCTGGGAGCCATAAAGTGAACATGTCACTGGATAATTCTTAAAATGATTATCCAGCTTTACATTTAAAACATCATTTCATTCATTCCAAATGAAATGTTTTGACTTAGAAAGCCATAAGATGTTAATACAAGTAAGATTTTCAGATTGAAGAAGTAACAAATTTGTTTAGAAGGTATTTGGATCATGGTCTTAATTTTTGTGTTTTTAAATTTACAAGACAATTTAAAACATTTATAGACCCATAAGTTACTTTTGTGCACATGTTTCTTACTTATTTTAGTTAGGGTTGCTTTCCACAGAAAGTAATTCTATGCCTAAGGCATGCTGTAAATCTCTTTGCAAATATTTCATCTGCCTCGTGAAGGATAATGATTTCTATAGAATTGGGTATTATACAGTATAACACTCTGAAGCCTTAGAAAAGAACAAGTAAGTAACCATAGCTTATTTGCAACTATAGATATAAATAAGCACAAACTAAGAATAGATTTATTACGAAGCATTTAAAAATTATTTTAGTCACTACCACAGTAATAATGATACTGAATTTAAAGTCTTCTTCCCTAGATACAAGAACTCCCTTGAGAGAGAGAATCCCTAACCATTGGGCCTCGTGTTAATTCTTCAGAGTCCTCTAAAAAGACACTAAGCACATTCAAAGAAATGTTTTTTTAAGACACCTCTTAAAAAATCAGCTCAGGCCAAATAGAGGAGGAACTTTTAAAAATGATAAAACATGACCAAGTAGGGTTTAATTCAGGAATGCGAGGATGGTTCATAATATGCAAGTTAATTAATGTAATTTATTATACTATTAGATAAACAGAAAGAAACTCTGTGACAATATATATTCAAAAGGCACCTACTAAAATTAAAAACCAGTTTTTAATTAAGAAAACAGCCTCTTACAATAGTAGGAACCTCTTACAAATAGGAGGAAGCTTTAGTTGATACAAGACGTCTATCAAAAAACAATAGCAAATATGTAACTAAGGTGAAACGTTAAGAGTTCTCTGTCAACTCTATCTCAATAGAACTGAAAAAAATAAGAGTGCTCTGTAAGTTGGAAGTCATAGTTTCTCCATCATTGCTATTATTCAGTATTTTCTGGAGATCCTGGCCAGTGTGATAAGATAAAATTAAGAAATAAGAGGACTAGATAGAGGAGAGAAAATTGTCATTTGCATATAACATTCTCTTCTTTAAAAATTTAAGAGTATCAGCTGAAAATCTTGAGACCCAATAAGATCATTTACTAAGGCACTGAAATACAGGATAAATATTCAATCAATAGCTTTCCAATATGTCACCAAGAACCAATTAAAAAGAGGAAAATAAATGCTATTAACACCTACAAAAAATTATAAAAATAAAAGAAAATAATTAACAAGAAACGTGCTGGATTTATAAAATCTTTTCCTCTACTGCAGAAGTTTACTACAAAACATAAAAGACTATCAGAGCAAATAGGAGACTCATATGTCCCTGATGGGACGGCTCACTGTGGTTTAGGCAGCACCCCCAATTACATTCAGTGTAATTCAGATAAAATCCCAGTGTGTTTGATCTGCAGATTTGAGAGTGAGTGCAAAAGTTTGGCCAAGTATGTAAGTAAAAATAGAGAGAGGGCAAAGCTGAAAGCACAGCGAGTTTTGCTGACCTCTTAACTCTAGTTTAAAAAGCCTTACAAATCTGTCTACAAACAGAACTTAAGGTGTGTCCAGCGATACTTGTTCAATGCAGATACTGAGTTGCCTCTTGACAGCAACTTTAAAGGAAAGTTTTAAATACTTCCCATGCCAACGAGTTTAACAAAGAGTTATCAACTAGACAGTGATACCAAAACTCTATCTGAATTTTTAAAATTATTTTTCTTAAAAAGAAGATAAAACCGTAGAGCGAAACAAAACCAAGACGTTTACCTTTGTGACTCGTAGGTCCTATCAGCTGTGTCTTGAAGCAGTCCTCAAAGACACGTATTGAAAAGTCTACAGCCTGGAGCAATAAGGACTTAATGGGAGATGCAAGCATTTTTTGAGTGAAAGAGCTTAACGATTTTATTTCATTTTAATGACGTCAGTGCTCTGTTTGTCTGCTTTGCCCTTGAGACCTTCTTTTATACCTGATATCTGTTCTTCTTTGGGAAGTTTGTTTTAGAATCTTATATTTAGCTATTGTAAACTAGACAGACATCATATTTTTAGCAACATATTTTAGTCTGTGTGTCCACAGAAATCCCAATGTAGGGGATTGTTACCACAGCAATTTACAGGTCCATAGCAACGCCCAGATAAAGAATGAGATGATTTGTCATTTTAGCAGCTGTCTCAGAAATCCAAGTTAAACACTTTTCTTTGCTTCGGGAAGGAATGTTAGCATGATCTTTCTAAGAGTCAACATTCACCTTGGACAAAGGAAAACTATTTTGCCCAAATATAATCAGTCTTTTTATCTAGGACACTAGGCAGTTTGTACAGATTCTTAACCTTAAAAGGGAAAAAATTTTACCCCCTAAGGACATTGTTCTTCTGTCTACATAGACAATAAAATAGAGCGCTTATGAGGTGTTCACATAATTAGGTGGTAAAGTGCTGATAAGTGAGGCCCCATATATTGTTCTTTATTTCAGTGATTGCATCAATTGGCTAATTTACAAAGCACATTTGGAAATTGCCCGAGTGTATTGATTCTTTGAACAAATATTTATTGAGCGCCCACTCTGCACCAATACTGGCATCTAGGCAAAGGCTGCAATCTTTAAGACTAAGAAAAAGATGTCAGGGACCCTTAACGCCTTCATGCAGGAGTGTGTGTGTGTGTGTGTGTGAATAGGCTGCCCTGTGCCTGGCAAGGATTTGTGCTGTCTTTCACTTGTAGAGCTTGAATTAGAGTGACTTCTGGTAGGGTTGATGCTGACAGTGAATCAGGTAATTCAACCAGCCCAACCCAACTTGCAAAGACCACTGTGGTCATCAAACAGACGCAAAATCACCCACTTTAACCCAACTGTTTATTAAGATGCAAAAAAAGGGGATATACCTTTTTGACTATATATTAATTGTCATTAATCTTTAAAAAAAAAGCTGGGAATAGTATCATATGATTTGACTATCAGGAGATCTCAGTGTAACTGAGACCCTATATTACTTGCCTCAGAGTATTGGGTCTATATTTAAAGAGCTATATAGACAGCCTGGCAATCATTCAGAAGGAAACATCCAGGACCGTGCGGGAGCTTGAAACCGTTCCATTTGAAAGATAGTCAAAGGAGCTAAAATACTGACCAGGGAAAAAGATGCTTCAGGGATAAAAGACATTTATTTTTCAATGTTTGAGGGTTTATCTTGTGGAAGAGAGATTAGAATTGATCTATCCGTACCCCTAGAGATTGGACTTATGAGAAATACAATATTTCTACTGCGCACCAGACGGTATTTCTTTGTTAAGGTACAGAGGGACTGGCTGCAGTGGGAAGTGGTCCTCCGTGCTTCCATCTTTAAGACAACATAGCTGGGCGAGTAAGCTCCATCTCTGTTTTTCCCTTGCCCTTTAGACTGGTCTCTGTCTCTCCGTCTTCACTGCATCGTTTCTGCCCAGGAGGACTGCAATCACCGTCTCATTGGTCCCCTTGCATCCCTTCTGGCTCCCTCCAATCTGTTCACCATCTGCAAAAGCGTGGGCTTTACAAAATGCAAATCCCATCTTTTCACCACACCCAGCTCTGCCCATTCCTCCGATGTTTTCCCACTGCTTGGAAAAATAAAACCAAAAGTAGAGCATGGCCTCTGAGATGCCTGTGTGCTCAGGCCCATAGCTTCCAACCTCCTCGAGCTCCACCTAACTCACTGCTGTAGCCTCTTGGACCTTCTCTTAATCCCTGGCGAGTACCATGTTTCTCTTGCAGCAGAGCTCGGCACACACATTCCTTCCACCCAGGATCTCTACCAGCTGCCCTCCTTCCCTATTCAGTTCATCGATACTTAGAAGCTCAACTCAACCTCAAACCTCCCACCTTAAGATTCCTTGGTAACACACGAACAGCCTTGGGCGTTTGCTTATTAGCCTCTCTCTGTCTTTTAACAAGCCTTTCTGTAATGATTTTATTCATTTCTGTCTCCCATATTATGTGAGTAACTGAATAGGGGCACGTTTTTGTTCCCCATTTCAACCCCAGCAAGTGTGGATGCATAGTGGGAGCGCGCATGTGTTTACTGAATGGTTAAAGGATGGAGGATCTGTGGGGTTTCCAGAGAGTCAGGAAGATCAGGCAGAGGGGGTAGCAAAGACATACAGGAGGTAGACCAGATGGTTACTAAGGTCCACAGCAATGTTGAGAGTCTGTGCTTTTTGCATATTTGGTTCAGGTTTTCTTAATGACAGTTATTCATTTTTATTACTTAGGGTCGACAAAACTACCTGCTGATGATACTTGCATTTTGCATCATCTTGGCTGGAGCCTTATGCACAGCTTTTTCTAAAATCTAACAACCACAAGGCCAGCAGATGGCAGCCGTGCTTGAGAACACGTCTGTCCTGGACACAGAGACCGTGCTGAGAACAAGGTTCATGTTCATACAGCAAATGGATCTCCAACCATCCCGGATTAGGGTAAATGATTTTTTTTCCCCCACAGATGTGAGAATGAAGGAAAACACTTTCAGTCGAGCATAAAAATGAGAAATTCTTCTAATGAACTATTTATGAAGCATTACGTCTAAGGATGCTGCTTTAACGATAATATGTACTTACTGGTGCATAATCTAGAAAACCGTGTGGATTTCGTATACAAAGAACTTGGTACATGTCCAAATTTCCAACATATGAACCTCATTAGTGAAGAGAGGCATAAAAATGTTTGGGGAGGAGTGGGAAGAAGACTTATAGTGGAATTAGAATCCAAAGATATCTGGGGCCTTTGCGAGAAAAAGTAAATGTCAGAGTTCGTAACAGAATGTGAAAAGGGCCATTTCATTATTTTTAGCCCAGACTTATTTTAACCTCAAATTAATGTTGCCCAGTTCTCCATCACCCACCTGACTTAGCTCAAAGTGCCTTTTGATTATCTCCAGACAAAATCCATCCTCAGAGAACAAAAACTTCCACCGTTGAGAATGTGTGTAACACATACACATACATAAATAAGAACACACATGAATACACATGCATATATGTATGTACTACTCCAAATTGGGAGGAGATTCTAGAATTGGTGAAGTGAGAGTCTAGCTTATCGGAGTGAGAATTTTAAGGGACCAACACACTCCTTTAGATGTACAATTTAATTTTTTTTTCTGAAATATACTTTTCTAAAATCCCTCTTGTAACTGGTGGTTTTCTTCCTGTTTTAACTGGCGGTTTCCACTAGGTAAAAGAAAATCACAGAAAATGATAGTGTTCTTTAAGAAAACTGAAATGGAACTGCTAGTACAATGTTTATCACCGTGGTTCCCAAACTGTCAAAATAGTCGAATTAAAAAACCTGGAAGAGGGCTTCCCTGGTGGCGCAGTGGTTGAGAGTCTGCCTGCCGATGCAGGGGACACGGGTTCGTGCCTCGGTCCGGGAAGATCCCATGTGCCGCGGAGCGGCTGGGCCCGTGAGCCATGGCCGCTGAGCCTGCGCGTCCGGAGCCTGTGCTCCGCAACGGGAGAGGACACAACAGTGAGAGGCCCGCGTACCACACACACACAAAAAAACCTGGAAGAGTGCTGTGTCAATTTCACACACTCCCTCTCCTAGAAGCACTTTACTTTGTTGCTAGGACAGGCAGAAGGTGTGTGACTCCCTAGCTAATTTGTATGGGTTCAAATCCCGCCTCTGCTTCATCTTAATTGTGTGACTTTGGATAAAGGTCCTGCACCCCCTGTATCAGATTCCCCATCTGTAAACTGGAGATAAGGGTAACATCCATCTCACATGGTTACTGGGATGTTCAAATTAGTGAAAATCCGTGAAGTATTTTCATGAGTGTCTGGTGCTTGGCAAATATATAATTCTTTTTTTTTAATTCACTTTTGGCCGCACTGGGTCTTCGCTGCTGCGCGGGCTTTTCTCTAGTTGCGGCAAGCGGGGGCTACTATTCATTGTAGTGCACAGGCTTCTTATTGCGGTGGCTTCTCTTGTTGCGGAGCACGGGCTCTAGGCACGCGGGCTCAGTAGCTGTGGCTCGCGGGCTCTAGAGCGAGGGCTCAGTAGTTGTGGCACATGGGCTTAGTTGCTCTGCGGCGTGTGGGATCTTCCTGGGCCAGGGCTTGAACCCGTGTCCCCTGCAGTGGCAGGCGGATTCCTAACCACTGTGCCACGAGGGAAGTCCCTCTAATTCTTAGCTATTGTCATATGTCTTGTTTGAGAAAGAAATCCTGTGTCTGTAGATTGGAGAATACTTTGTAAGAGCTGCTCCTCTCACTACCATCCACACTCAAACAACTCCTTATGCCTCTCTATGAGCTCAATTTAAAAATGATCCTGGAGTCCCTGTTTAATTGTTGAAGTGTGAATATAAATAAATATTTGATTGTAACATCTTCCAAAAATTCATTTTAATTTTAACCGAAAATGTTGATATCTTTGAATCAACTGACATGATACGAAGCTATTTTTCTTGTTTAAATATATTTAAAAATTTTATATTAATGGCACTGAATTATTCTTTAGCTGAGGTTGCCAGTTTGTATGCAAAATTTTAAATGTGAAGTAAAGCAATTGCAGAGGAAAAATGAAAAAAAAAAATCTTATTACCACTCTACAGTTTCTGCTACCAGATAATGTGAGGACAGTAGTGTGGGAGAGAACAAGCTTTTTCAAAAGGCTTACCAAACAAACAACTTTTTATGTAGAGGTTAGTCTAAATGGGCAATTTCCAAATCTCCATTCCCTTCGCTTACCTTAGGAAGTTAATGCCCACGGTTCTTAAAGTTTGGGGGTTTCCTTTTTCCTTGTCTAGTGTGGTCAGATTCTTGTGTATGCATTCCTTGTGGCTTGGCTCTCTGTCTCTGCGTTCAGAGGGCAGTACCTTAGGAGGGCATAGCGCCCAATGAAGCTGGCTTCCAGATTGTGGTAATTTTCTACTCTCAGAAGAAAAATGCCTGATTACCAAAAATCCCTAACGAGTTTTAAAGAATTAATAGTACAGACTTTCCCCTGAGCTACCAAACCTCCTTTCGGTCCTGTTATACTGATTTATTTGTACTTATAGAGTTGCTACCTACTAGCCTTGTACGTATCACTATTGGGAGAGCTTCTGAAAAACACACTGAGTCAAAAAAGGTGAGTTGTAGAGATGTGTGCGTGGTGTGATACCATTTAAATAAATTTTTAAAAATCAAAGAAATATGTACATTTTCTGTGAATCCATATGTACGCAACATATTAGAAAAACATATGTACCGAACTCATAATAGTGAGAATAAAATGGTGACACTAGGTCAAGGTGACCTTGAGCATTACCTGTAATACTCTAATTTTTATGGCAATGAATTCATCTATGTGTTCTTTAATATGTGTCAAAGAATCAACGGCAGAAAATCTCAGAAGCATATGTCTAATTGTTAAAGTAATTCAAACTAGGTACTGCTTAAAATATCAAAGTAAGAATACACACACACGAACACACAAACTAAAAACACAAAGATCAGGACAAAACTGGGAAATTTTCCAGTGTGGGAGTCCCACCTCCTAAAGGTGGAAGCCAGAAACTCGCTTTCCTAGCCTCCCTGTGTTAGGATCTAAGGGTTTTTCTGACCATGGAGCCTCCAAGCCCAATTCCATGGTCCTGCGGGAGATTCTGTGAGCTACCTAATATAGTTGTTGCAGAAATTTGGCCTCATTAAACAACAACAACAAAAACTCACAAATACCTTGTAGTCTATTTTAATCAACTTTAAGAGGTATAATTTGCATCCAATAAAATTCTCCCATTTTAAGTGAACAGTGCTATGAGCTTCAGCAAATATATACTCATGTAACCACCACTACACCCTAGATACAGAACATTTCCAACAACCCAAAAAGTTCCCTTCTGCCTCTTTGTAGCTAACCGGTGATCTGTTTTCTGTCGTGCTAGATTACTTTTGCCTATTCTAAAATTTCATATAAATGGGATCATATACAATGTACCCTTCATATCTGATTTCTTTCATCTTCTAGCCATTTTCAAACAATTTTTACTGATCTGAAACAATTATAATGCATTCTCAATCGTTCTCCCTAGTGGAAGAAAGTATATGTGTGCATTCAAAATAACAACTAAAGCAGAAATGATTAACATTTGGAATTGTTATATTTAAGTGTGTGATATGTCATGTTCCAGAAAGTCACCATTTTAAATTAATAGTGTGGTTAAGAAGAATTCTTAGCTACGTTTTGAGTCCATCCCCACTCTATAATGTTCTCTTTTGAGGGGCTGTAAGATATTAAACTGCTTAAACTAGATGACCTCCATTTACTACATGTTGGAAAAAAATGCCTGTTCTTGGGTTTCTTACAATGACCTAATGGATTATAATCTCTGGGGCTGGAAAGTATGAATTTGCATTTTTTACAAGTATTCTTGGTGATTCTTATCACACTTGTGTTCTAAAGTTTTTCTATTTGTGGCTTATACCTTGCTATCTAAAAGATTGCAAAGTACTAGGTTATTACAAAATAAAAAAGAATATTGTCTTCTACTCCTAGAGGAAAGAGAGAAGATGTAAAAGAATAGGTATCCACTTAATTTTCTGAAGATTTTTAGGAGAAAAAAATGAAAGGTTTGAAACCATCCTGTTTATGTGGAATTTTTGGCAAAAAATAACAGTAATAATGACTGAGCATCACATTACCTTTTTTGGCTCAAACCACGTAACTTCCACACATCGAATCATCTCTGCCTGGTGGCCAAGTCTATTTTCACTTCAGATTATGCAGACTGATTCTTTCTCCAGTATAAAATCTCTAACACAATTCATGTTGACAGGATCCCATGAAAACAAACAAACAAAAATTCCAATTTCCAAATGGAGATTTTGCAAGAAGATCTAGTGAAGCAAATTTAAACACTTGAATACACTGTTGGGTAATACTATCATGTGGAGATTTTCATGATGTGTCTGAGACTCTAGTAAAAACATGTTTATTATAAACACACAAAAGAACATGCAATTCTTAAGAGGTTCTCCTCTGGATCATACCTGATCTGACATTAATTCGAATTTCACTCACTTATCTTGAAGTCAAATTAAGCTCTATAGAAGTAAACATGTGGAAGCGTGTAAAAAACATGGTTCAGCCTTTTAAGAAATTTGTGCACAGTCTGAAAAAGGAAACTCAATAGATTCTCTCCATGTGTGTAATGCGTCTTTCAGCTGAAACCTGACACAGAGCTGTTGAAATACAAAGGAGGAGGGTAAGTTGTCATTGACTTGACTGGTCACAGCATTATGAGCTTGGTGGTCAGTTCATTTCACAATAAATTTTTTAAATACATAAAACGTTTTAGTAAGTGATAAAATTCCTTAATTTTTGATGGAGAAAAACATGGTAAGACTATGTTCGAAATAGTGTTTCTATTTGGTTCAAAATATGATATAGTAAGAGAAGGAAGCTTTGGGGAAGCTTTGAGGTTTACTTTTATTGAGGCAATTTGTGAAATTTGCTGGGTGATAGGCCATGGGTAAGAGAAGGTCGGTGTGTGTGGACTGAACTGATGCTTCTTCACAGCAGCTCCTAACGATGTCTGCTGTATGAGGAATGGAAACCAGCAAAGAGCAAGGGGGAGTTGCCCTTTTCTGATCTTGCAGACAGCTCTCCACTGGTTTTCAGTGTATAAACGTCTACAGAGAAGCTTCTTCATCTGTCTTACAGCCCCAGTGAAGAGTGGACACCCACGAATGACCCCACTGACATGCTGGGGAAAGACACCCAAGAACAACTCTTTTGAGGACTTCCCTGGTGGTCCACTGGTTAAGACTCTGCAAGGGGGAAGGGGAGGGTGGGGTGGATGGGGAGATTGGGACTGACATATATGCACTACTATGTATAAAATAGATAACTAATGAGAATCTACTGTAGAGCACAGGGAACTGTACTCGGTACTCTGTGGCGACCTAAACGGGAAGGAAATCTAAATAAGAGGGGATATATGTATACGTATAACTGATTCACTTTGCTGTACGGCAGAAACTGACACAGCAGTGTAAAGCAACTATACACCACCACCCCCACCCCCGGGCAAAAAAAAAGACTCCATGCTTCCAGTGCAATCCCTGGTCGGGGAACTAAGACCTCACAGGATGTCTAAAGCCCCACACCCGAGTACTCACCCCAAGGGGATTAGCATCTGAGATGCGACTGAAAGCAAATAGGAACAGTACATTGTAATGAAAAGCAGGTTCAGAGGAAACGTTACATTTTTGTTAGTAACAGGAAATATATCATACTTTGAAGACTATAGAGAAAATCACTGGATGGTGTTAGGGCCCCTACATACTACCAGCAGTGAAACTGTGGGCAGATCATTTGATTCCCCTGGATTTCATATTTT